GTCGAAGATTAATGTAAATTTTCTCATCAAGGTCTACATAGAGGAAGACACTACGCACGTCCATCTGATGTAGTTGTCAATCATGGTGAGAAGTAGCAATTAACTCATGTTGGGCAAATGCCCATAACTACTTGACAGGGATTGGCGTGATGTACAGAATAGGCCTGCTAAAGAATGTGATATAAAAGAGTAAAGATGATTATAAAATGATGGGAAAATTTAGAGTAAGAGGTCAAGATAAATCATTGGAAGGTGTTGAAAATATCAACTGTACAAGGAAGGCAGACATGTGAAATTAGAATATATGGGGTGATGGCTAGTCCAAGTCGTATATTATGAGCTTGAAACGTGAATGGAGTGCTGCATATATTATTTTGTTGAACAAATTAGATCTTTTAGTTTGGATATGGGAGCTTACTTTTATTGTTGTGCATCAAATTTTGATGAGCAAAAATGTTTAACTTACTAGGATTATGTTCGTTTTACTTTGTTCTATGATTTGCGTTGGTGACATTTTGCTTAATGTTGAATATTGATTGTGGAGAACAAGTGTAGTATTTAGTTGTTGGCCGAATTGGTGTATTTGGAAGTGTGCTTGGATTGTGTTGATCTTTGATGAAGATTAATGGGTGCATAAAATAGTTAGATGACATATTGTGAACTCATTCAAGTTAGGGCCCGAAACGGTGCATTTGGAATTAGAGCTAACCAGGTTGTTTGAGTGAGTTTTGTATTTATTTTTGTTGATTTTTTTTTTTTTAGTTTGTGCTAAAGTGAAAATGGATTTACACAATGTCATTAATCTCAAATGTGACGAAGAATTGACTCGAGCCCTACAGTTTATTGAATTTTAACATGTGCTCAAGATGTAAGACAAGTTCAACCATTGCCGAAGTTTGGTTTAGGCTTTCCTAGATTGTTATGATGTAAATTCAAATTGCTTTAGAGTAGGTAATGATTTAGAATTGTACATTACTTTGTTAGATGTTTTATGTATTATATGTCTACCAATTGTTGGTAAACTCGTTATAGGTAAAGAAGTTATTGGTATAGATGAATGTAGGAGGTGTTTTGGGGACATTAAGGGGTTGTATGATGATTGTAAAGGCTTAAAGTTGAGTGCTTTGAAGTGTTTGGCTGAGAATGAAGACATTAGTTTAGTGTATAGGGTGCCGGCCACGACTTTATTAATTATAGGCTCTATTGTAACAATAATGCTATGGACACCCGTATTTTTACACCAAAATCTTGTACCGGCCTACGTGTTCCGTGATTCACACCAGCAAATCAGACACGTTTCACGTTATTAAATTTTTTTCTAGTGAATAGCCGTTCATCAACTATGGACGGTCGTTCACTTACTATGGACTCCCGTCTATATTATATGGATGGGAGTCCATTTTCTATGGACAGAAGTCCCCATTTAAAGGACGCCCATCCATTATTAATGGTTTCAAAAAAATTAAAAAAAATTAGGGACTCCCGTTCATTAGTTATGGACTACCGTCCCTGAATTTTGGACGGGCGCTCGCAAAAAAGGGACGCCCGTCCATAATGTAAATATAAAAAAATAAAAAAAATTTGGATGCCCGTCCACGTGTGGACTGGCATCCACATATAACGGATGGACGTCTGAAGTATAATTAATCCTGCTCTGCTACCATGTCAGAATCTAAATATGGAGAAGCAAGAGAGGTAGTTGAACTTCTGAAGTATGTCAAGAGGAAAAGGCTAGGAAGGCAAGAGAAACAATTTGGTTGTTAAGTATGCCGAGAGAGAAGAAGAACAAAGGTAACATGAAGAAATATTTGTGTATCTGATATACTCTTCATGTACAGTTTACAGTAATTTATACAAGTGAAAAATGTGACTCATAAGGAATAAAATAAAAGGTATAATTACATCATCATTACATAGAAGGCAATGTTATATTTTCAACTAATCATATTTTAATTAGATCATATCAAATCCTCCATTAATTACGCATATCTTCACTCTAATGTTGACAAAATCTGTCAACCTAGGAGGATTTCTAAGCAAAAGACATGTTGACAAATCTTATTATTATTTTAATCCAAAAATTAACTATTCTCATATTAGCTTATGACATGTGACCATTTTAGTTAAACTAAAATACAACTTCAAATAGAGTTTTAATTCTTATATTTAACTTTAATTTAGGTAAACATTGCTTACTAATTAAAGTTAGTTTGTCCTTGATAAGACTAGCTGATTAACATTGAAAACAAATTCTCCCATGACAGACAGCCGTGAAAAAATGGAAATAAATCAATCACCACAATCTTAAATATGAATACTCGTTCTTCATTCTTAATTAACACTCTAAATAATTGATTTAATGTGACATTATTTGGACACAACTTCTGCTTTCTTAAGAAATAAAAAAATGTCAAAATCTGATGGCTGATAATCAACATTTGTACCTTATAATCATAATAAACATTTGAGTAAACGACATGTTCCCACCCATGGTTTGACGAAATCCTAAGTTAGTACCACTGGTTTCATTTATTCCAGATTCTCACCCTTAAAGTGACGGAAAAATGTTTGATGTAACGGTAAAAGGGTAAATTGGTCATTTTACATGGGCGGCGCACGTTAGCAGACCACCGCCTCTAATAGTCCTCCGGCGCACGTTAGCAGCTGTCATTCCCGACGTTTTTCGCTCTTTTCCGGTGATTCTTCCACCGAAAATCACCCTAGTCACCACCATTTGAACCTCTATCCTCCCCTCTACAGAACCATACCATTCACAACCACTCATCACTCGCCGATCTCCGGCCACGGCAACAAAAAAGGCCGATGAACACGAACTCTCGGCCGGCGAATGACGACGAAACGGTTGCTGGGGACATAGGGGTTTTATAGATTTGGGGACGGTGGTTGCATTGGTGGTGTCCAATTGGATTTTCAACGCCGGAATCGACCGGAATCCGATGAAGAACACCGAAACCCTAAGCCTAACGGTGCCGGCGATTGGAGGGGCAAATGAGTCGGGAACCAGAGGGGTTTTGGACGACGGACTACGGGGAAGGTGATGGAGGTGACCAGGGGGTTCGACGTCGTCAGAAACAGCCCAAATCAGGTTGTTTCCGGTGAGGGTGTATAGTGATCGAGGGTGTTTTTGATATAATTTGAAAATAAAATGATAAGTTTTGTAATTCTACTATTTTAGGGGTTAAAAATAATTTTAATTAATTTAGGGTTAAGGGCATTATGGTAATTATACCCTCTAAACCCTAAAAATTCATAACACTGTTACTTTAAAGGTGAGAATCTGGAATAAATGAAACTAGTGATACTAACTTGGTATTTCGTCAAACCTTGGGTGGGAATATGTCGTTTACTCTAAACATTTTATTAACAACATTAGTAGTAGTCACATCCTATTATGGTCATGGATCTCCTTTTTTTGAGCACTCAGATCAATTTCTAATTCTAATTTACTAATGCGCTTACACTGAAATGATAATTTATTAGCTATGAAATTGACCACGACAGCTGTGATTATAGATGCCATTTAATAATGCATATATGCTATGCTACATCGCGGCTTTAAAAAAAGTTTCCTAAAACGATTAGGCCTAACCTTAATTAAGAACAGGTGTTGTCATGAAAAGTAGAGACATTGGAGGCTTTTATGATTTCAATGCAGGATTTTATTTGTTTTAGTCATGATTCCAAACCAAAACTGAAAAATAATTTTAATTTAATAAACCTCAAGAATATAATTTTGAATTCTAAAGTTAGATGAATATTTTTATTTAATAAAATTGTAAAATGAAGTTGTTTAAGTATAGATTATGAATAAGATAAAATTGTAAGAAATTTGAGATATCACATAACATGCAACCAACTTTAATTGCATGTCATCGTCAATTTACTGCACCGCAAAATTACATAATATTTTTTCACATGTGCTAATTGGGCGCTTCGCATATTTATACATGGCTACAAATGAATCCTTTGGAAAATATTCTACCCAACTACCTACGAAATTGTCTTTCCTATAAAATGGATACGTGTCATTGCCGAATTCTTTTATACCACGAATTAAAATATTAATATTTATGCCTATAGAAAACTACAAACTGTTCCCATATGGGGCACGCTATTCAAATTTCAAAACTTTTTGTTAACAGAAACTTTCTCAAGAGGATATCCACTTACTTTAATGTGCGCGTCACAAAATAAATAGGTAGGACCCCTACTACTTTAAATTACATGTATATTAACCATAATATTATAATTACAAAAAAATCTTACAAATATTTTTATATAAAGTGGGATAACAAAAAATGAATGAAAAAATAAAATAAAAAATCAATCTTATTATATTCATTTTTACTATATCATTTTATATATATGAATATTTATAAGGTTGATTTATTTGTATATATATCATTATTCAATAAATAATTGTATGGGATACGGTTTAGTGTGACCAAACCATGCACGTATCACATAGACATGTAGATTTTTTGTGAGATGCTACATAGTACGGACCGAAAAGTAGAGTAATTATATACGAATTAAAATTCATGTAAAAAAAAGAGGACTTTGGAGTCCACAGCCCCACAGGCCACAGCCCACAGTACTGCAGGCTGCAGCCATCGCTTTCGTTTCACGTGCTAGTGGTGCCCAATAGTGATGCAGCTGGATGGGACCATTATGTCCCACTTACACCAAACTTCATCTCTTTGTTTCTCTCACATCATTATACCATATAAGCCATTACCCATTACCCATAAGTATAACCATTAACCACCCTGTCCTTATTCATTCTCTCAATACAATTTTTTTTTTCTTCCTGGTTTTGACTCGTCTTATTATTATTATTATTATACATCTATTTAGTTTATTTTTCTGGGAATAAAATTAAAGGCTACTACTAAAATATATTTTTGGCTAATCGCTGCTGCTCTTGTTGGTATAAACTCCCCCTCACATAAATAAATATAAATACCTCTCCTCATATAAATTTCTATGTATATGTTTTAGGCAAGCTTTCCCTACTTTGTGTACAAACAAAGTTTCATTCTCGTCTCTCCTTTTCCTAATTCCTTGTTTTTCTTCTCCCCGTCACAACCACTCGTTCTTCACCTATTTTTCTCTCACACACAACACAAAGAAGCTATGGAGGGTCTGATAATCTCTCCATCTTCATCTTCTTCTCTAGTTTCCTTAACCCCTGAAACTCCACCACCAACTCTCCAACAAAGGCTTCAGTTCTTAGTCCAGAGCCAACCAGATTGGTGGGCTTATGCCATTTTTTGGCAAACATCAAACGATGATAATGGCCACCTTATTTTGTCTTGGGGAGATGGCCATTTTCAACCCACCAAAGACACATCCCCAAAAATAAGCAACGTTAACAACCAGTCCATGTCTTCTTCGTCAAATTTGGAGAGAAGAAAGGTCATCAAGGGAATCCAACAAGCATTCGTTGGAGATCAAAGCCATGACATCGATATGTCCATGATGGACGGCAGTGATGTCACTGATACTGAATGGTTTTACATGATGTCTCTGACTCGATCTTTCAATGCTGGAGACAGTATTCCTGGAAGGGCTCTTAGTACTGGTTCTTTGGTGTGGTTGACTGGTGGCCACGAATTGCAATTTTACAACTGTGAAAGAGCTAATGAAGCACATATGCATGGCATTGAGACTTTCGTATGCATACCAACTTCATGTGGGGTTCTTGAATTGGGCTCCTCTGATATCATCAGAGAGAACTGGCGTCTCGTCCAGCAAGTGAAGTCTCTTTTCGGGTCGGATCTCACTGGCTTGGTAACCAAACAATTAAATCCAACATCTGGACCAATTCAATTTCCCGACAGAAACATCTCTTTTGCCGATATTGGAATAATTGCCGGAATACAAGAGGAAGATATAACCCTAGAGGAGAACAACAACAAACAAGCAGAAAAAGGTAGTACTGTTAAAGTCGGACAATCATCTTATGTGGATTCGGAGCATTCGGATTCTGATTGTCCATTACTTCCAGTCAACAATATTATAGAGAGAAGAACACCCAAGAAAAGAGGAAGAAAACCGGGTCTTGGAAGAGAAACACCCTTGAACCATGTAGAAGCAGAGAGACAGCGGCGCGAGAAGCTGAACCACCGATTCTACGCACTGAGAGCTGTGGTTCCAAATGTGTCAAGAATGGACAAAGCATCGTTACTCTCTGATGCAGTGTCTTATATAAATGAACTCAAGGGCAAGATTGATGAACTTGAGTCACATCTGCAAAGAGAGTTGAAGAAAGTGAAGGTGGAAACTTCTGATAACATGGATAATCAGAGCACAACCACATCTGTGGATCAAACTAGGTCTAGCTCTGGTGGAGGGTTCAATCTCGAAGTAGAAGTCAAAATAGTGGGCAACGATGCCATGATAAGGGTCCAATCTGAGAATGTTAATCATCCATCAGCTAAGTTAATGGGAGCTCTACGTGAACTGGAGTTTCAAGTTCACCATGCCAGCATGTCATGTGTCAATGACCTCATGCTTCAAGATGTTGTGGTTAAGGTCCCTGAAAGGTTCAAAACTGAAGAAGGTATCAGATCGGCAATTTTTAGAAGACTAGACCAGTAGTAAGATTATATTATTATAACAACTAGTTTTATGCACTTTAATCTCTTTATGTTAGATGGATGTTAATTTTCAAGGCAGTTTTCTGTTTCCATGTATTGTAAGAAATGGGGATAAGATGAAGTTAATTTTTCTTTGTATGTATTGTTGCTTCCTAAGTTTATGGCACTGTAATTGACATAAATAAACGCACATGTTAATATTCACGCACGTTTATATTTAATATGATTAAATAATAAGAAATTAAACGCCTCCAATCAAAGTAAGGCATAGTAAGTGTGGGGCTCTAGACTCTAGTGTTAATTTTCATGGCCAAAAATATCTAGTCGTGTTGCTTCGTATGTGGACGATATGAATTGGAAAAACTGGTGTGCTTGAGCATGGGAATCTGGGAAACACAATAACACAGACCCCACCACTACTTAAAACTTTTAAGTCATGTGCATTTATAGAATATAATATTTAAATAAATTCTCTCTCAGCTTCTAGAATGAGAAACCAATGAGAACGTGCCAGGTCACAGTAAATAATTAAATATTCGTTTGCTAAAGGCCATTTCATGAAAAAGAAGAAATAGTGGGGTTGAGAAAATGGACCAGACTTTTGAATGAGTAAGATGAAACGTATACATGGTCCCTTCACCATTGTTTGCCTTTTGCAGTAACCTCTGTTGTATACGTTGTCAAACGTCACTACTCACTGGAAATTCCCATTTTATTTTAATAAAAAACAAAATTCAAGAGAGATAATGTTCAATAAATTGACAAACAATATAATAAAATTCTCGTATGACAGATTAAATAATTACTCCCTGCACGTGCGAAAGAAAAATTTTAATATCCTTTAAAATATTAGAATTTGTGCTCTCCCGACTTTTAACATATCCTGTTCTTGTATATCTATGGTCCTCTTCCTTTCAAATACATCATATACTTTCCTCTTTACCTCATAGATCTCTGGCTTCAACTTCAAGCACACAGTTTTAACTTAAATAATTTTAGAAGATTATGGTATGAAAAACTAGTCTTTATAAAAAACAAAAAAAAATGAAAAATATATAGTGCCATGATTTATTGATGGTTATGAAAATTTCAAAAATATTGAGAATATTTGTCTTGTTAGTAGAAATGCTATACATGGTAAACAATTAAACTTGATTGCTATTTAGAAAAAGAAATAGTCACTTATTGTTTGAAAATTAAGAAATAAAAAAATGACGTGTTTTGGTTGCTAATAAAGATAAAACATCTAATTTCTTAATTCTAAAGAAAAGTCGTATTTATAAGAGAAGTCTTTTTAATCCTATTTATATGATGATAATACAGGACTTTTTTATTGTATTGTTATTCTCCTAATACTGTACATACAAAGACTTTGAGTTTAATTTCTCGAATAATTCCTCAGCTACAGGTACTATTGAAAATTTGAAATCTTACATAAAAAAGTTTAAAACACGTGGCAGAATGAGCAGGATGTGATTAAGACTAATCATTTATTGTCAACGTACTGTGAAGAATAACCCAAACTATAAGCAAATTATCCATCCATGACTATAATTATAAATACTGAAATACATACTCGTTAAGTTCGAATCAGCTTAAATAAATTAAAGACCATATGACTAACACATTAAAGAGACAAATTTTAGTTATTTATAAGAGTGCCTTTTGTATGGCTGCATTTTAGCAGTCATTATTAATGGTGTTTTATATATATATATATATATATAAAACTTAATTGTTAATATATCATGCATGCATATTGTGCACGTGGATTAATTGTAGTTCTCAAAACGTCATTCCATAGGTCATGGACGTTTATTTTATTTATTTATTCATTTATTGACAATGAGCATTAATCGTCATAGAATACTTTGGGTTGTCCGTGCGTGAACCAGCCACGCTTTCTTGTTGAACACTAAAACCCCATACTTACAACCATTTTTTACGTACTTATGTAGAGTACAATTTCGGTAACATCACCAAATTAATTTGTTTGAATAAATCCACAACTTTATTTTATTATTATAAAACATTTATTAATCATACACAAACACAACATTATTTTGCCTAATAAAAGAAAAGGATTAACTATAATTAGAACAGGGATTATGGTTATGTCAAAGAGTGTTGTTATGATCATTTTTAGTTAATAAGATAATGGGACTGATGTTTATACAAATTGGGGTGGGCAGCTTTGGATACCTGCCCAAATCCTATGGAATCGGAACCGAAATCGGCTAGCTCTTGGGATTTAGGACTGGTTTTAGTTTCTAAAAACCTAGAAAGCCTGGAATTGACACCTGAAACACAGGTTTCGAGTTCTCGATAAAATTTATTTCTCCCTACTATTCACAAAAATGACAAATACACCCCCAAAAGTTTACAAAAATAATAGTTCAATCTTGGTTCCTACCTGGATACTTGGGTCTCAGTTTTGGTTCCTGCAATGGTGGAACCAAAACCAAAACTGGAACTGTATAGTACCATTTCTGATTTTTTAGAGTCGTAACCAACCCTATGAGGCCGATTCCAGGTAAGAACCGAAACAGAAACCCCAACTATCTTCCGGTTTTGGTTCTACTCTATATTTTTGCCCACCCCTATATGCAAAGATGTATTTTTGTAGGCCCTGTTTAGTATTTTTGTGTGAATGTCACTTTAATACAAATTGTGATTGAACTCAGAAAGTCAAGTGTCAGTGGTTAATTAAACCCTTGTTTGAATACTGACCACAGAAGTCATTTCATAATTGTATATGTTTTTGAGCATGTTTATCGTCTGAGCAATTATGGGTGGATGTATTTTACCACTTTCACAAATATTAACCGACTCTATGCAAAGAATTGTGGTTTCTAAAGCACAAATGCAATGAACTAAAAATATAACACATGCCACTTACTTTTTATGTTGCCAATAATTAAACACGTGACAAATTAACAATATAGTACAACGACCATATCATCAGCATCATCCAAAGATCAGCAGCAGCTCTTGACATTTGTGGTAATTACAAGAAGGCCAACATTATAAAGAAAACAAAATGTCCACAATAGACTATGTTCTTTCTTATTAATAAGGAATTGATTGATCTCTACACTCTACTAAAACTTATAAGATAAAATATCTGTGGTTAGAAATGATTTATATATGAACTATGAACACAACTAGAGTTTTATATTTTGTCGATACGGTTCTAGTTACAAGGAAATATGGGACTTTAAATAAAATATTGATAGGAAATTATATTATATAAGAGTTAAAGAGAAATAACATATGATTTGCAAAATTTACAATCGGGCAGCCAAGGATGGTTACTTTGTGGGAATCACATCATATATACATAACAAAACAACGATTAGTATTTATTACAATAGCATAGAAGTGAAATGAAAAAGGGGCACCTCGATCACGCCTTATCGATCCTTATCTGGCAGCCTGAGAAGCCAATCACCTTGCCACAAGCACTCTTCCAACAGTATTTTAATGAAATAGGAGCTGGAGATGGAATTTGGTTTTTTTATTTATTTAGATTTGGATTTTGATTTGATGATGTGTTGGGGGATGATTCGATGGAGATGGAGATGGAGATGGAGATGACTTTGTCTATTTTTTACTTACATGGTTAAACATTTTTGATGTCCCTATGAATCTGGGTGTTTTTGTCATTATCTAATTGTGTTGGTTTAAAATGTTATTACCCCATATTTACTTGTAAAATATGCTCAGCTCAAAAATTGATCATACCATTAAATAAAAGAGATACTAATGATCCTGGAAAAAAAAATAGTACATCACAAAGAAAAAAATCCTAATTCACTCATGCGACCTTTGCTGTTGTATAGAGTTCAGTGGATCATAATTCATGAAGCTCTTCAAAAAACTGAAAAATCGAGTCCACTATCGCTATCCTTTCTGTTGTTTCTTACTCCATCTAATCAGTTCATATCGCACCCAGCCCAAAAAGAAATACTGAACTCAAATTAACCTTAGTCCAGTCCAATCTTTGTTTGGGACAAGTAATTCTAGTCCCTTCTTGCCTGGCCCAGGATTCTACAGAGAAGTTTAGCTTGTTCATACTATTTGATGGTGGTTTAACGGACGAGGTAGATGAGGAACTAATCTCCTTGTTGTCAAGAAAGTTGAATGGAATGGAGCTTAGATGAATTAACAGATTATTAAACTATAGTTGAAGATGGTTTCACTTTGCATTGATGATAAGTTTACTTTGATTTTTCAGCTTCGAAATATTGAATCCTCAATTTCATATAACTCCTTCCTGATTGAAAACTGCTCTATTGTCTGTCAATAAATTTTAATTGTTATCTCTCATATTCAAGTGGATTGAAATTTAAATGCATTCAATTCAACGATGTAAAATTATAGATTTGTGTAGTTACTTCTAATGGTATCGTATAAACACCAAGCACGCAGCAACAACTATATGAAACAAAACGAAGTGTCGCAAATCAATTATTGATCAAGTAATCTATCAGCAACTTCAACTTTTACCAATTACAATTTGTAATCAATCCACAAAACAACTTTTTCTTCTTGTTATTTCTAATGGATAGGACCATCCAGGAGAAATATTAACCCTAGTTTGACTATAGTATCAGAAAACATGTACAAAATCTACATATTACCAGCAGAATCAATGACCCAGTGTTGGCCATCAGTTTGTACTTGAAGACCGTTTATTTTTGCAAACAAATTTACAGCTCTTCTTACACCTCTATTATCTGCAGCGGTAAAATAATCATGTCCAAAAATAACCCCACCGGGTCTCAAGATCCGCCAAGCCCGGTTTATATCCGCCCAAGCCGAGTTAAAATCATGACCTGCATCAACTTCTATCAGATCACCCGTCACTCCCCACTCACACAGTGTTGTTAGAGCCGACCCGCTAGAATACGGCACGGGCAAAACTGATTCGGATGCATTTAAGTACACAACGTTTTGGATAAATTGATAATACAGTAAAATGTCACCGTTTATCATCTGAATGTCCTTGAACTTGTCGCGAAACCCAGGCCACCCACGAAAATCATCTATGCAAACAATCTGTGTATCGAGCCCCAGTTGACGAGTCAAGTTGGACATGTGAAGAGCTGAAGCGCCAAGAAAGGTGCCAACTTCGATAATGATACGCGGCTTGACTTTATCTATGAGGCGCGAAAATACTTGAGAAGAGTGCCTTTTGTATGGCTGCATTTTAGCAGTCATTATTAATGGTGTTTATATATATATATATATATATAAAACTTAATTGTTATATATCATGCATGCATATTGTGCAGTGGATTATTGTAGTTCAAAACGTCATTCCATAGGTTATTGATTTATTTTTTATTTATTTATCATTATTGACAATGAGCATTAATCGTCATAGAATATTGGGTGTCCGTGCGTGAACCAGCCACGCTTTCTTGTTGAAACCTAAACCCCCCACTTACAAGTTACAACCATTTTTACGTACTTACGTTGAGTACAATTTCGGTAACCACCAAATTAATTGTTTGAATAAATCCACCACATTTATTTATTACAAAAATTATAATATCACGCAAAACACAACTTATTTTACCTAATAAAAGAAAAGGGTTAACTATAATTAGAACAGTGATTATGGTTATGCAACCCCCCCCCCCCCCCTTTTTTTTTCTTTTTTTTTTTTCTTTTTTCCCTTTTTCCCCCCCCCCCCCTTTTTTCTTTCTCTCTTTTCTTCCCCCTTTTCTCCCTTGTCTTAACCCAGGGGTTGTTATGATCATTTATTTTTGTTAACTCGATAATGGGGCAATGACCCTGTTCCTGGATTACCAATTTGGTGGTTGGGTAGTTGTTTTGTGCTCCACATTCGCCACCAAATCACATTGGGACGCCGGATACCGATTTAATACCGGCTAGTACTTGGGCTGAGGTACCTCGCGTTGTTTAGTTGCTGATAAAACCCTCACGCACACCCGGTCTGGCATCCTGTTGACACCCCTGAAACAAACAGGGCTTCGAGTCTCTCGACTAAACACTTTTTATTGTCTCATACTATTCATGCAAAATAGGTAACAATACACCCATACCACAACCATAGTGTAACAAAAATAATAGTTAATATTTCTTGGTTCCTAATCTGGATACTTCGCCGTCCAACGTTTTGGTTCCTCGCCCAATGCGTTGGATACCCCAACCTAACCAACAATTGGACCCCTGTTTGACCACCAAACAAGACAACGTTTGATTTTTTGAGAGCCCAGCCTACCCCCCTTAATATATCCTAGCCGTAGGCAGTAGCTCCACGTAAGAACCGAACACCGAAACCCAAAACTATTTCTCTCCGGTTTGGGTCTTCCTCTCTTTATTTTTGCCCTATCCCCCGATTTCATGCAAAGATTCTGCTATTTTTTGTGTACCGGCCATCGTTTAGCTCACCTGTCCATTGTGTGCACATGCGCACTTAATACAATCATGGTCGATTGACAACTCATGATACACTTCCGTCCAATGTCCGTTTTGTGTTATATTAACACCCTGGTCTGTGTATTTAAAACACGTGGCAGAATGAGCAGGATGTGATTAAGACTAATCATTTATTGTCAACGTACTGTGAAGAATAACCCAAACTATAAGCAAATTATCTATCCATGACTATAATTATAAGGCCAATGACTTGCGCATATCCAAAGTTTGTCAAAATGATAAGTTAGTATATAAAAGATTTTAAAATAATAAATAGATATCTTCTGTCATGTGTGATTAGTGATTTCTGTTTATTAATAGTAAAAAGACTAAAATACCCTTAAAGGCTGAATTTTTAAGTTTTTTATAAAATTTTTAAAAAACCTCCTAAGTTTGCTAATTTAATTAAACACCCCTATATATAAAAAGTTTGTTAAATGATAAAAACACCCCTACACCTGCAGTGCCAGACTCCGGTGCCACCGTCGGAATCTGGCCAGAAATTGCGTTACGACACAGACCCCGTCGGATCTGTTTCGTAACGCGTCGATCTGGCCTTCCTGACCGATCTGGCCAGAAAAGGCCAGATCTTCGGCCAGATCTGGCCGTCGACGCCGCAGATGGAGTTTTGCAGCCACGACGGCCAGATCGAGCCATAGATTTGGCCTTTTCCGGCCAAATCAGCACGGATCTGGCCAGAAAAGGCCACATCGACACGTTACAACACAGATCCGACGGGTCTGTGTCGTAACGCAATTTTCCGGTCATATTCCGACGGTAGTGGCCGGAATCTGGCACTGCGGGTGTGGGAGTATTTTTGTCATTTAACAAACTTTTTATATATGGGGGTGTTTAGTTAAATTAGCAAACTTAGAGGGTTTTTTATAAATTTTTAAATTTACAAAAAACTAAAATATCAAATGTTTTAAGGGTATTTTAGTCTTTTCACTATAAACAAACAGAAATCACTAACAACATATGACGGAAGGTACCTGTTTGTCGTTTCAAAACCTTTTGAATACCAACTTATCGTTTCGGTAAACTTTAGATATGCGTAAGTCATTTGGCCTAATTATAAATACTGAAATACATACTCGTTAAGTTCGAATCAGCTTAAATAAATTAAAGACCATATGACTAACACATTAAAGAGGACAATTTAGTATTTATAAGAGTGCCTTTGTATGGCTGCATTTTAGCAGTCATTATTAATGGTGTTTATATATATATATATATATATAAAACTTAATTGTTATATATCATGCATGCATATGTGCACGTGGATTAATTGTAGTTCTCAAAACGTATTCCATAGGTCATGGACGTTTTTATTTATTTATTCATTTATGACAATGAGCATTAATCGTCATAGAATACTTTGGGTGTCCTGCGTGAAACAGCCACGCTTTCTGTTGAACACTTAAACCCACACTTACAGTACAACAATTTTTACGTACTTACGTTGAGTACAATTTCGGTAACATCACCAAATTAATTGTTTGAATAAATCCACCAACTTTATTTTATTATTACAAAACATTTATTAATCATACACCAACACACATTATTTTACCTAATAAAGAAAAGGGTTAACTATAATAGAAACGTGATTATGGTTATGTCAAAGAGTGTATGATCATTTTTAGTAATAAGATAATGGGACTGAGTTTATACAAATTGGGTGGGCATTGGATACCTGCCCAAATCCTATGGAATCGGAACCGAAATGCTAGCTCTTGGGATTTAGGAACTGGTTTTAGTTCTTAAAACCTAGAAAGCCTGGAATTGACACCTGAAACACAGGTTTCGAGTTCTCGATAATTTATTTTCCCTACTATTCACAAAAATGACAATACCCCAAAAGTTTACAAAAATTAATATTCAATTTGGTTCCTACCTGGCTATGGGTCTCAGTTTTGGTCCTGCATGGTGGAACCAAAACCAAAACGGAACTGTATAGTACCATTCTGATTTTTGAGTGTAACCAACCCTATGAGGCCGATTCCAGGTAAGAACCGAAACAGAAACCCCAACTATCTTCCGGTTTTGGTTCTACCTATATTTTTGCCCACCCCTATATGCAAGATGTATTTTTGTAGGCCCTGTTTAGTATTTTGTGTGAATGTCAATTTAATACAATTGTGATTGAACTCAGAAATCAAGTGTAGTGGTTAATTAAACCCTTTTAATAAGACCACAGAAGTCATTTCATATTATATGTTTTGAGCATGTTTATCGCTGAGCAATTATGGGTGGATGTATTTTACCACTTTCACAAATATTAACGACTCTTGCAAAGAATTGTGGTTTCTAAAGCACAAATGCAATGAACTAAAATTTAACACATGCCACTTATTTTTATGTTGCAATAATTAAACACGTGACAAATTAACAAATATGTACAACGACCTCATCATCATCAGCAGCAGCTCTTGACATTTGTGGTAATTACAAGAAGGCAACATGATAAAGAAAACAAAATGTCCACAATAGACTATGTTCTTTTATTATAAGGAATTGATTGATCTCTACCCTCTACTAAAACTTATAAGATAAAATTCTGTGGTTGAAATGATTATATTGAACTATGAACAAACTAGAGTTTATATTTTTGTCGATACGGTTCTAGTTACAAGGAAATATGGGACTTTAAATAAAATATTGATAGGAAATTATATATATAGAGTTAAAGAAATAACATATGATTTGCAAAATTTACAATCGGGCAGCCAAGGATGGTTACTTTGTGGAATCACATCATATATACATAACAATATTTATTTCCAATAGCATAGAAGTGAAGAAAAAGGGGCACCTCGATCACGCCTTATCGATCCTTATCTGGAGCCTGAGAAGCCAATCACCTTGCCACAAGCACTCTTCCACAGTATTTTAATGAATAGGAGATGGAGATGGAATTTGGTTTTTTTATATTTAGATTTGGATTTTGATTTGATGTGTTTGGGGGATGATTCGAGGAGGAGATGGAGATGGAGATGACTTGTTATTTTTACTTAATGGTTAAACATTTTTGAGTCCCTATGAATCTGGGTGTTTTTGTCATTATCTAATTGTGTTGGTTTAAAATGTTATTCCCATATTACTTAAATATGCTAGCTCAAATTGTATACCATTAATAAGAGATACTAATGATCCGAAAAATAGTACATCACAAAGAAAAAATCCTAATTACCATGCGACCTTTGCTGTTGTATAGAGTCAGGGACATAATTCATGAAGTCTTCAAAAAACTGAAAAATCGAGTCCAATATCGCTGTCCTTTTGTTGTTCTTACTCATCTAATCAGTTCATATCGCACCCAGCCCAAAAGAATACTGAACTCAAATTAACTTGTCCAGTCCAACTTTGTTTGGCAAGTAATCTAGCCTTCTTGCCTGGCCCAGGATTCTACAGAGAAGTTTAGCGTGTTCAAACTATTTGATGGGGTTTAACGGACGGGTAGATGAGGAACTAATCTCCTTGTTGTCAAGAAAGTTGAATGAGGAGGCTAGATGAATTAAAGATTATTAAACTATAGTTGAAGATGGTTTCTGCATTGATGATAAGTTTACTTTGATTTTTCAGCTTCGAAATATTCAATCCTCAAATCATATAACTCCTTCCTGATTGAAGCTGCTCTATTGTCTGTCAATAAATTTTAATTGTTATCTCTCAATTCAAGTGGATTGAAATTTAAATGCATTCAATTCAACGATGTTAAATATAGATTTGTGTATACTTCTAATGGTATCGTATAAACACCAAGCACGCAGCAACAAACTATAGAAACAAAACGAAGTGTCGCAAATCAATTATTATCAAGAATCTATCAGCAACTTCAACTTTACCATTACAATTGTAACAATCCACAAACAACTTTTTCTTCGTTATTTCTAATGGATAGGACACAGGAGAAATATTAACCCTAGTTTGACTATAGTATCAGAAAACATGTACAAAATCTACATTTACCAGCAGATCAATGACCCAGTGTTGGCATCAGTTGTACTTGAAGATACTATTATTTGCAAACAATATTACAGCTCTTTTACCTCTATTATACTGCAGCGGTAAAATAATCATGTCCAAATATACCCCACCGGGTCTCAAGATCCGCCAAGCCGGTTTATATCCGCCCAGCGAGTTAAAATCATGACCTGCATAACTTCTATCAGATCACCGTCACTCCCACCACACAGTGTTGTTAGAGCCGACCCGCTAGATACGGCACGGGCAAAACTGATTGGATGCATTTAAGTATAAACGTTTTGGATAAATTGTATACAGTAAAATGTCACCGTTTATCATCTGAATGTCCTTGAAATTGTCGCGAAACCCAGGCCACCCACGAAATATCTATGCAAAGAATCTGTGTATCGAGCCCAGTGCGAGTCAAGTTGGACATGTGAAGAGCTGAAGCGCCAAGAAAGGTGCCAACTTCGATAATGATACGGGCTTGACTTTATTTAGAGGCGCGAAAATACAGCGCCGTATGATCCCAGCCTGAGCGCGTCTTGTGCGAAGAAGTTGGGTCACGTGTGGCGGGGGAAAATTGGAATAAGGAGAGGTACCGTTGAAGAGTCGGTCGATAATGAGTTGACGGGCGTTTTGGGGGGGAATTGGATTAGCGCAGCGAGTAGTGACACGGAAATTGTCGAGTTGGGTGGGGAGATTAGTCAGTTGGAAGATAGAGGGATAGGGAGAGTTTGGTGGTGGTGTATGTCTCGAAGAGTTGAAGGTTGGGGAGGATATGTAACCCAAGGTATAGGATAGCATGAGGAGGATAACAAACACCGTGGGGTTGGCAAAGAGTTTCTTAGTCAAGTCCACGAATTTTCTTTGGAGGCGGTGGTGATGCATAGAGCGTTCTTTAGTGTCGTCTTTGTCCTTCATATTTTGGTAAGAATTTCAGAGTGAATTTAGAAAAGAAGGTTTTGTGTATTGAATTTGTATGAGGCAAATGTTTGTTTAATTGGCTGTGTACTGCAAGGAGAAAGAACCAACTACCAGCTATAAGTATTGTGTTTAAAAACAATCACAAACTACAAATAAAAAGAAAGCTGAGAAAGAACAAAAACAAACTACAAAGAGAAGATTTTAATAAAAGAGGAAAGAGCTAGTGGTTAACAAATGAATGGGGGGATGTAAATGTTATGTATGGCGATTGACGAATTTAGAGGGTAGCGTGTTTATTACACAGATAAGCTGTTTGAAAAGGACCGTGAGGTTAAAGTAATTAAGGTCTTAATCTGTATATTGAATTTTGTTGGTCAAGCCTCTATCTTTCGTAATCTAGATGCAGAGATATTTGTGCTACCTTCGATGATAGAATAGTACGACGTCGGGAATTAATTTGTCTGAGTGTGATGCATATGGGGACTTGATCTTAATTTCAGCAATTTTATTATTAATTTTAGGTAAAATGATCGTGTCAAGTCATTAAATAATTGTTGCCAATAATTTCAGTCATAAGATTTTATAATTGGTGCCACGCCGGTGGTTGTTTGAATAAGTAACCTTACCAACGAATGTTGATATGTTGGTAAGGTTATTCATAAAATCTCAAATCTTAAAACAATAGGGGAAAATAGTCATAAATACTTTACTCTTATATACATCACAACTTGGTCACGCTTATCCAGAACTAGGTATTTCAAGTGATATTGAAAGATTCCTTCCAACGCTCATTCCTTTTTCTCCTTTCTTGATGCTTGTGCAGTGGATCTCTTTCACTTTTTTACGTTATGCCTCTTCTTTCGCTTCCTCAAAATTCTACGTAAGTTACTTTTAATGAATGAATTCTCCTTCCGAATTCCATATGACTTCAAAATTAAGTAGTTTGCACATCAAATGCGGCGACTGTCTGGCTGTCTGCTTGTGTTTATCATTATAACTTACAACTTTTAAAGAGCTAAACAAGAAGTGCTCCCTGTCATGAAAGTGCAGCGAAATAATAGAGCTAGCCGACTCTCAAGATTAAACACGGAGAGCACATGCTTGATCCACCATCCCTTAACTACTTTATGTCTTCTATGAATGTGACTCCCAGCCTTTATGCCTTTATGGGCGCTGAATTAAAATAAATTACAACTGCCTAACTCATTTCTAAAACACGATGCATGCATTTCAAGTTATTACAAAATGACAAACATGGAGGTAGAGGCCAAATGCTTCAGCCTTCTCTTTTCACAACTAAAACCGCCATTGTCTCACCTTTGTAATTCATTCACTGCCATGCCAAGACTCTCTTACAACACAACTTACCTACCTAATCTGTTAAAAATTCAAGAGTACAAGAAAATTTCAATTCTAATCTCCATCTACCAAACATCTCTGGAGCGATACCAGTTCTACTGTAACAGGCACCTACTATCAACAACCACAGTACTCATGGGACCATATCACTTTGCCTCCTCTCCGTCACCAGCACCATGTCCACCAGCTGAGCTGCCCTGACCATCAGCACCTGTTGTCCCAGCATCAGAAGCATCTTGCTTGCTTCCACTACGGACATCATTTGGCCCTGCTGCTGAAGGAGCCCCTCCACTGCTGCCACCTCCAAGAGCGCTCTCAGCATGCATGGGATGCATGCCATTGTTGGTGGCACCAGGTCTCATTCCCATTTGTCCTTGCATAGCTTGATGTTGCTGATGTTGTTGATGTAGCTGTTGCTGTGGATCCTGAATTTGGTGAGGGTTATTGAATTGTAATGGCATCTTTGGAGGAAAAATGCCCGGTTGTTGAGCCATTGCTGCTGCCTGAGGATGTTGCATGTAAAATCCCCCTGCTTGCATCGCAGGATGTGGGGCCATCTGCAAGTGTTAAATGCATAGATGAGTAAAAAGGGTAAAGAAGGTGAATTAGCAAAAGACTAGTCAAGTTCACTCTTCACCTGGGGAGGCATTGCTGGTGCTTGAGGTTGTGCATCAGCAATTGCAGCTAAATACATCAAATTCTTTTGAAGCTGAGCTTGGTACCTGGATCAAAAAGATCTTATTACACAAAATCAATATCAAATAAAAATACAAACAATTGCACACACATACACGCTCTTGCTGTACTAACATACAGAAGAGAGAGAAATGTGTTAAAAAATTATTTTCCAAACATTGCATCATTCAAAATTTTATAGCACAAAAATCCATAACTCGTGGTCGAATGCAATTGCAACAATTCTTTCTTCTTTGTCTTATAAAATTCACATCATTAGCTTAATCCTAATCCCAAAACCATTATCCACTTCATTTACACTTCCACCAACGTATTGTTGTTGCTTAGATCTCACAGCCAAAGTCAATAAAGAGAAAAATAATTCTTTGCTAATGTTGGCATCTACACAAATAACTGCATTGGGATGGCTTATACAGTATGATAGAGGTGTTCAAGTTCCCTTGGGCCACCTACCAAGAATATTATACGCCAAGATTGTCCGACCAACCAAGGTTGTAAATTTCGACAATAGTTCCCAGATTCAAACTCCGGGCGCACACCAAGAGATTTGTGAGTTATCAGTAAACAAAAGTTAAAAGAAAGCCTTTCATGTTCTCAAGAAATAAAACCCACATGAGGAATAGTTCAAGACTTCAAGCAACCAAATTCCAATATACATTATCCCGCCTTCTTTAAGTGGGAGAGGTAATGCTAACTACTATCATTTTAATCATATCAATAACTCAAGAAGCATATGAATCAAGTACCTGATATTGATCATATCCATCAATTACAACAGATGTCCATCATTTACAATGTAGACTCCAATGAAAATTAGAAGTGAGAACATTAGGTGACAAAAACTATATATGTTTCTCGAGTAACCGTATGTATAAACAATAATACACTTTTAGTCCAGCTTTATAAAAAAAAAAATACATGTACCTATTTGGGGTTATATATTTATAAATTTGCATTTGAACTTATAACATAATACTTAGAACCTAGCAATACAGCTTTATAAAAATGCAAACGCACAGAGGAATGGCAGGAGGAGGGACAAATAGAGAGTTGATAAGTCACTCACTGTGCACACTCGGCCAGTTTTCCAAGATTTTGATTGTCCAAAATTGCCAAAATCAACTTTTTGTTCTCATCAAGGTACTGCATCAAACATTAATAAAGATGAATCAAACATCTAATTACCCATATCAACATATAATAAATCATCAAGCTCAGACCATAAGAAGTTACAACTAAATAGGATATACAAAAATAAGTCTGACAAAGTAAAAATGCAGCAAAAAGATCTTCAATATAATAGATCCTTGGCCTTGAATGCCTCTTTGAAAAAGCCATCCAGAAGATCTAGAAAAGATTAAAAGTAAGGAAAACTGGGTACACACTTCCTGCCTAAAGTGGATAGCAATTTATCCCACATTCATGATTAAAACATTCCTTAGAAAGGTCATTTCAGGTTTTCCTCCGCTATATGTTTCCAAAGAAGACTTTGACCTTAGAAAGAAAGACAACCACACCATGAAATGATTTTAAAAGGAAGAAGGAAAAAACAAAAACTCTGAGCTTAGCTGCGAATTTGCAACAACAAAGGAGCTGAGTGCAACCATGTATATTCTTCTCTTTTGCCTTGAATAGATGTACAGAATTGCAAACAAAACCCATTAAAACATTTTTGAATTTCTTTCGTCAAAAAAAAATGCATATGTATTTACCAATAAAACCTTCGAAACACACTCCAAAACCTTCTAAAATCGGCTAACATGTAATCTCAACTGTGTAGAAGGCATATCTTAAAATGCAAACTAGTTTTTCTTTAGTCAATAAAAATATATATTTATTAACCATAAAACCTTTCGAACACACTCCACCACCTAAATATCTGCCAACATTTAATGTATGTTGATGTGATTTCATGACCAGAGCTATTCGAGTACACATGTTCTGAAAGCAGAGTCTATAACCCCCCCATAAGTCCGTTGCAGGTAGATTCACCTCTTGCAAATCACATAAGGCTCACATGCCCCACCTCACACACAGCATCAAATACCTTATATGACAGTAAGTACTCATAAACACTTGCTGTAACAGCCTCCAACCAACCCACTACTTCTGATTGATACTGCCTGGACATCTCAGCCAGTGAAGTTGGTCCACTTAAAAAGTATTCAGTTGGAAATGATAGAGATGGACATAAACAAACAAACAAGGATAAAGAAAAGAACTAATGAAACTGAGCCATGGAACATGAGTGGAATAATTGGAAAATACCATATATACAAATATGACATCACAGTAACACAAAAATTCAACCCACCAATGGGAAAAAGATTCTACATCAAGCTAAGGCTGATCTGCATATAATCATAATTAACAATTTTCGAATCATAATCACATCCAGGATGGTATCATGTATCACTTGTTGCATTTCCATATTGTAAGGCATGCATAACCACGACAAAACGGACATGTATTTTGTTCTACTCGACAACGACAAAAAAATCAATAATGTTTGTATTTCATAATATTACACACTCTGCCATAACATTGATTATATTCCATACTAGGAAAACATTTTGCAACGTGTTGTTGTCTAGCCAAATCTGTAATGACATCAGGAATCTAGAAATCCAACTTTGATCCTCCATACAAACATCGTCATAGTCAAGGCAAGTCTGTCATAATATGTTGTAAGCAAAAAGGCACTTGTCTCAGGCAGGAGAAAAATAATACCTGGCATAATCAAATTACCAGACCCGCTATTTTCCTTTCAATTTCTATAACGATTATTTAGCATCGTGTCAACCAATTAAACCACTTGACGAAGTAAGCACAGCAAAAAAATCTAAACACTTAAATCTCCTCAATTGTAGACCATCAATACCAAGACCATCATTTCAAATAGATAATCGAGGAACTGTAACGGGATATTATAACACACAAAAGCAGCAACGCACATATTCCTCATAGTTTCTGTATATAAATACATGTGAGAAGTTAATGCAGAGAAAGAACAAATTATACCTTTTGAATCTGCTCGGTGGTAATGTTTGCGGGTGGAAAAGAAGGCATGACAGGAATCATCTGCGGTGGCTGCTGCATCTTGTAACAGAAACCCTAACCCTAATCAAACAAAAACTTCCACAAATCAATAAACCCTAGAAACAAATAATTAATTAAAGAGAGACAGGAAAAAAAAAAAAAAAAAAAGATAGTTTGAGAGAGAAATACCTGCGTCGGTGTGTGAGTAGGTGAAAAAGAAGATCTTTTAGATGTCGACGAGGTTTCTGGAATTTAAGACAAAGTTTGAGTTGAGCAATCTAAAACTATTTAAAAAGCTCTTACCAAACAAAACAATACTAGATATGGTCTGTCCTTTTAAGACAAAGCTCAGCTATTTTTAGTTTACACGCCCTAACCATTAACCAAGCTTACATGTTTTGTTCAGGGTCGCATGTGTCAGCTTGAGCCACTTGCTTGCTCACTGGGCTTGGGCTTTCAAGCGGTGTAACTTGAAGGAGACTTCGAGTCTAAGATGTGTTAGTAAAGTACCAGATTGACGCCTTTTTCTGAGAAATTGTTCTACTTTTAAATCTTTGAGTAAAAGACCACGCAAGGTTTGGCTAACTTGCAAGTTCCCACCCACAGCTTCATTAATTACAAATCTAAACCCTTAAATTAACAGCGTCACTAACTCTACCCTCTGACACAGGTGCAAAAGGTCTCATTACCAAATTGCCCTTGAGCCTTTGACTTTTTATTATTTGATAATAAAATATTGAATAAACATGTGAAAAACCAAGAATGCCCCCATATTTATTTCTTTGTACCCATAATGACCTTGTATGAAAAATAACTAAATTATGTGAAAATACCATAATGCCCCTATCTTTTTGAAAGTTCGTTTTTTAATTGAATTTATAAGGGTACTATATAACGATAATTTTTCAAAAATTTCAACGTTACATATTTACTTCTTCTCCATTACCTCCACAAACACATCCTGGACACACCCAATACAACTTCCACAAACACATCCTGGACACACCCAATACAGCCTCCACAAACACATCCTGGACACACCCAAATACATATTGTCAAAATTTTGCAAAAATCATTAGCATAAAAAAATTGCAGCACCTAGGAATTCATATGGTATAATCAATAATAACATAACATTAAAAAGTAATACTCCATAATTAGGTACTCCATACAAATATATTAAGTCATAAACAGGCCAGTAGTAATGTAGATTACATAAAAAAAAACATTTGCAACAGTGATAACCTTTACAAAAACAACCTAAAAAATCATTTCTATCTGCTCGCACATAAAAAAAACTTGCAAATTTCTACAAGTTGCTACACCACATTCACCAAAAACTACTGCACCAAATTCACCCAAAAACTACTTCACCACATTCACCATAAAACCCTCCACATTTTTGTATCCACCAGATTGTTGCAAATCTTATGTGAGTCAATTTTGTGGAACAATAGCTCCACTACCTATAACAATCATAAACCATGTTTTAGAGCCCTAAAATTGTAAAAGAAACCATTTAACAAAAATTTGAAGCACAAATGTAATATTAACCTATTACTCTTGATTGTTGCCAAACACTTGACTTGAACTTTCACCCGCTTGACTTGCTTGGGGTGATGAAGCTTGTCCTCTCTAAAAAAGGCAAACATACATACATAATAGCATACGAGAGCCCAACTCAGAAAAGTTGAATGTAATAATCAAGATTAAAAAAAAAAAAAAAAAAGCTTTAAATTACCTTTTGCTTCTTGCTGTTGAGAGGAGTTTGTTGGCAACTCCTCCTGTTATGTCCCAGAGTTTTACAAAACCCACACCTCAATGTTGTAGCTATGTTCAGCCTTGGTTCTTCATCAGCATCTTTCTTTATAGCCTTTTTAGGTCTTCCAATCTTGCTATGCTTGATAGGTGGGTACAACTTGTGACTCCCAATATCAGGCCAACTAAGTGGATTAGGTATGGGGTGAATGTGATCAGCATAAGTCTTCTTGTATGAAATGATGGTCAATGAAGAGTCTATATACTTTTCCATATTTGAGACTCTTCTAAAAAGTAAACAACTCACTCCATGCACACAAGGGACTCCAGAGAGCTACCACATTCCACAGTCACAAGTTTGAGATTGTATATTTAAGACGTGACGTCTACTGGGAAGAATATTGTTATCCTTGACTTCAAACTCCTCACTTCCTAGCCAGATAACATCAACACTTCTAGCATGCTCAAATAAACTATTGATTTTCCTATGTATCACAGGAGGTACAACAGTGACCCAATCAGTCCCACATTTTGCACAAGTTTGCATCCTTTTTATAATCCTCCTCTTATAGAGTTCTAACAAGCTTAATATGGGTCATTCTCTATTGCCTTGCAATCAGCTATTAAAAACTTCACACATATTATTTGTAACATGATTAGACTTAGATTCAAGGTCAAATGCATGCCTTAACCAACTAGTAACATCATTATTAATCATCCACCAATGAGCATTCTCATCTGCAGCTCTAACATTATTCGTGACCTACTAAAAAATCAATGGTATTGACAACCCTACTAACAACATAAAACAATTTCCTCAACTGCAACCCAAGGAAATTTTTCCTAAAGTTAGCATATACATGCCTAGTACAATGTCTAACCCTAGCATTTGGCCAACAAGCTTGTACAACATCCACTAAACCTTTTTGTCTATCACTCATGAAAATGATAGGGTTAATGCCTTCTAAAAATTTATACAACAAAGTCATAAAGTATCTCCATGAATCTTGACTTTCTATCTCGCAAATACCTATTGCTAATGGGAAAATGCCACCATTAGCATCCATAGAAACTATTGAAAGTAGTATACCACCATAAGGGCCTTTAAGGTGACACCCATCCACATCTATGAACCCTTTCTTTTGTGCTACAAAGTCTAAGAAACACCTGTAAAACTTAGGAAATTCAGGAATCCCATCTGGACTAATAGTCTTGACATTGTACATAGAACTTGGATTGGTGTGTTTCACAATATAATCATATTTCAACAATCATGAGAATGACTCTGCATGGTCTTTGTCTAACCTCTCTATTGCCCGCTTATTAGCCTTATAAAGTTTATGTTTAGACAAATCTAGATAGTGTTTCCTGCTCAACTCCTCATACAAAGACTTGCTTGATGATCCCTTTTGTGATTTGATAAAGTCTCCCATTTTGTCAGCCACCCAAGCACTTGTTGCACCAGGATTATTGTAAACCCTCAAGCAAGTATGTGTTTCCGTAGACTTCTTAATCTGATAAGATATTTTATCAGCCATCAGAGCAACATATATATAAAATGGATAACTAGGTTGTTTACATTTTGCCTTAAATCTTCTTTTCTCATTATGTATCTCTAATCCATAACAAACCCCATCTGAATTAAATAATCTTGAAACACCTTCCTAAAATGATAAACTTCTTGAAACGCTTGACCAACTTCAAATTGGATTTTCCCACCAGCCCCATATGCAAACTCTTGACCCTTCATATTCTTGCTAAACCTGGAGACTACATCATCATCCTCACTAGACCTTGACTTGACTACATCCTCACTGTCCTTTTGGTATTCAAATAGCTCCACCCCTCCCCAAACCACTTTTAGTCCCCTTAACTTGACCACTTTGATTCTCCTCTACCCCACCACTTCCCTATCTATCCTGGGCACCATGTTCATTCACCTCCTTAGCACCAATTCCCTGCCTAACCTCATTATCTCTATCATCATCACTTATATCACTCTAGTAGAACTCATCTGCAATACCCATTTCATCTAGATCATTAGCCTACCTTAAAAGAGATTCAGACCCATTATCATTCTCACACTGAGTAGGTGCTTCTAATAAGCCTATACCTTCAACACAGTTTAATAGTTTGACTTCTACATAAACCCTAATTGTTCTCATGCCTTTAATCTCCTATTCTTGAAAAATGAAGTTCATATCATTATCCCTGTTCAATAAGTATCTAGCCCTTAATAAGGGTAACTCAACCTCAATCTTGAACTCTTCATTAGGGTACAATTGGACAACCTGATTCTCATTAGCCACACAATACTTCATATCTTTAATAAAACATATATAACTATATTCATCTGGATCAACATTCAATATCTCGTATTCAAAACCAAACACTTGAATTTTAAGGTCAAGTGACTTTGGTTTCAACCTTAATAAACAAACACAAACAGTGTTTGTCATGCAACAGAAACATAAACCAAACATGCAACAACAGCATAACACAAACATGCCCAAACAGATTTCTAGGTATGCGATATTGTTACACCAGAGGTCATCAAGATCTGCTAGGCAGTTTTTAAGACAATCATTGGTTTCCAGCCAATATACCCTTAAAAGCTAAATATGCAGCAACAAAAACATAACACAAACAGACAGGAAAAACATCAACATGCAGCAGCAAAAACATAACCCAAACAAGCCAAAAAAAAATTAACATACAGCAACAAAAACACAGACCACCAACTGTAACCCTAATCCACCAACAAAATCACCTACCATCACCACCACCATACCATCATTTTGTCAGCCACCATCATGACGACGACCACCACCACCACCCAAAAAAAATAACTAACCACCACCTTACCACTACCCTAATACCACCACTACCAAACACAAATCACCAACCACAACCCTAATCCACCAACAAAATCACCTACCATCACCACCACCATACTATAATTTTGTCAACCACCATCACCACCACCCAAAAAAAAAAAAAAAAAAAAAAAAAAAAAAAAACATCAATGACCACCTTACCACTACCTTAACACCACTACAACTACCACAACCTTAACACCGTCACACAACCACCATCACCACCATACGACCACCCTGCCACCATCATCACCATACCAAACACAGACCACCAACAAAATCACCTAATAACACCATAACAAAGCTCCCAACACAAATATAGACATAAAATTAAAAGAAAAAAATGCGATGCAACATACCTAGATGTAGACCACGTCGCCATAGCCTGCCGATTGAAAGAGGTGGTTGTCGTTTACGATTCTGGTGGGTTATCTGTGTTTTCAACACTTATGATCGTCTGCTGGTTGACGGAGGAGATTTTCGATTGTCATTTACGATTCTAGTTTAGGGTTGTCATCGGGTTTTGCTCCACTTGTCGTTGATGGTTGAAGGAGGAGGTTTAATGTTGTCATCAGGTTTTCTAGTTTATGGTTGTTTGGTGTCATTGGGTTTTGCTCCACTCATTGTCAATGGTTGAAGAAGGAGGTTTAGGGCTGTCGTTAGGTTTTCTAGTTTAGGATTGTTTGGTGTCATTCGGTTTTGCTCCACTCATGGTCGACGGTTGAAGGAGGAGGTTTGTCGGTGTTATCAGTGTTGTTAACGACGGTTGTTATCAGCTACGATTGAAGAAGGATGTGAAGGGTTGTTGTCGTTTGTTTTCTCTCAAGAATGCAAATGAGAAGAAAGAGAAAGAGTTATGGTTGGGTTAAACGAGAAGATATAAACATTTAATTCAATCGCCAAATTCTACAAGTTTTGCTTCATTTCCCTATGTCTGAGTTGACATTTTAATTCAAATTAAAGTTAATGACCAATCTACCCTTCCATCGTTAACAGAAATGAGATTTTGTTAATTTAAGGGTTTAAATTTGCAATTAATGAAACCACGGGTGGGAACTGCAGGTTAGCCAAACCTTGGGTGGGAAAAAGTCTTTTACTCTGAATCTTTATAGTACAGCTAACAAACCAAGTAAGCAACACGTGATCAACCCATCAAAATATATGTGAGTTGTACATTTTGGAATTTAACGATTTTAGATGAATACATATATTAAAATATTGTATTTACTAAAACCTCATAGTATCCCTTCACTCATCTTCATGGAATAACACGTTTTACTTGAACAATACATGAAATGCAAACGTTACTAACAATCAACTTGTACAGCATGTTTCTTTAATCAACCTAGCTTTTCAATCAACAAACAAAATTTCCAACCTTACAAGTTTTGTACAGGGTCGCATGTGTCAGCTTGAGCCACTTGCCTGCTCATTGGGCTTGGGCTTTCAAGCGGTGGAACTTGAAGGAGACTTCAAGTTTAAGTTTAAGATGTGTCAGTAAAGTACCAGATTGATGCCTAAACTGATAAATTGTTCTACTTTTAAATCTTTATAGTACAGCTAAGAGAACCAACACGTGATCAACCAAACAGAATATATGTTGAATTGTACATTTTGGAATTTAACCATTTTATACGAAAACGCCACCTTTATTAATGTTTGTGAGAATTAGAATTCAAAAACTCATCAAATTTTTATTCACTCTTTTACCATCAAACTATCGGCTAATGATTTATAAAGCTTGTATTATCCCTTCACTCATCTTCATAGAATAACATGTTTTACTTAAACAATTCATGAAATGCAAAGGTTACTAATTATCAACTTGTACAGCATGTTTCTTTAATCAACCTAACTTTTCAATCAACAAACAAAATTTCCAAGTACATTAAGGTAATAATTCGTATTAAGTTTAATGATTTATGACTAATTATACAACGATTTAAAGATTAAAATCCTAAGGCATGTTTAATTACAATTTTTGACTTGTTATACAACTTAAATGGAGATGTTTGATTAAAAATAATAATAATAATAAGAGTTTTAAGTAATTGGTAATTTTGTTGAGTTTTAAAAGATTATAGAAGATTAAAGAGTGAGGTTTATATTTATTAAGTTTTAAGAAAATTCTTTTGCAAACAATCTTAACCACCACTTCTCGCTGACTTAAAAAGGTTATCAGAGGAACAAGTACAACTAATACCTTTTTCTTTTGAATCCACAACTAATCTATTAACCGTGCCCTAATTTCAGCAATCATTTATTAGTTTCTTACCATTTCCGATCAGCCTCACCGTTTTCCGGAAGCGCGAGAACAGCAAGTCGAGCCGAGAGTGAGCTAAACCTGGCTTCTGATATTTGGAAGCGTTTATTCCGACCGCGATCCAGAAGATACCTCCCAGTTATCCCCCAATTTGAAATAGGTATGGATATAAACCTGTTCAAATTGTGTTCTGGCCTTAAAGTAATTGGCTACTTCATGATCCTGTTAGTTGCCGCAATTGTCGCCGTATCTTATTACGCCGTCGTTGTACTTACTTGGGGGCCACAGTTGCTTCGCGGTGGAGTCCACTCGTTCTTAGCATTATCGATAATTATAGTGTTTCATGTTCTGGTAATATATTTTTCTTTAATTATTAAATGGTGTATGGTTCTAAAAGTATATTTTGTGAGATGAGTAAAGTTGATGTTGAACTATGTTATTGTAGCTTGTAATGTTGGTTTGGAGCTATATATTGGTTGTGTTTTGGGACCCCGGTTCTGTGCCGGATAATTGGACGGCAGTATTGTTGGAGGAGAGATTGGAGGCTGGTAGTTCTTCAAGATCTTCTGATTACGCTGGACCAGAGACATTGGATTCTACGCGGCCGTTTTCAGATGGATTGGATGGAGGACCATCGGTAGCCTACTGTGATAGGTGCCGAAATGGGAAGCCGCCACGTTGCCATCATTGCTCTGTTTGTAAGCCTTCTTTTTGCTTCTCTGTTGTGATTTTTTTTCCATATTTAAGATATGACATTTCTGAACGAGCTAGTTGCAATGTTTTGATTGTATAATTTTTTATGAAAGTTGATTTGAAGGTAACCTTTAATTATGTTATGCATCGGCTGCAAGTTGTACAGTTAACTTTTTAAAGTTAATTGAACGTCAATGAGTGTTTCTACTCCTTGAGATCCATTATTAGCTTTGCAATTATCTTAATATGAGAATATATTCTCAGCAATGCGATCCTGTTTAAAGGAATCAAATGGTTCCTCTTTATGGTTGTCTAGGTTTCACATTTTTACAATACTGCCAGAAGCATTAGTTAATTGGCATACTTGGAATGTCATGAACCACTGAAATTGATGCTATGAAATGCCGCATTTCTGTAATTATTTGTTTATGATTCTGCAGGTCAAAGATGTGTTCTCAAGATGGATCACCACTGTGTTTGGGTGGTAAATTGTGTTGGAGCACGCAACTACAAGTTTTTTCTTCTTTTCTTGGTAGGTCTTCTCGTCATGTTTTATGTTATAAAATGAGAAATATGTCTAGCTTTCTCTAGCGTGTTCTTCCCTTTCACAAATCAACAGAACTGTTCAAGACTATTTCTTATTCTGGGGATAGACTTAGACAGTTTGTGAGTAGACATAGAAGTATCCTTACTCTGTGAATTAGTATGGCAATACAGTAGTGTCAACAATGGTAGACTCCTCATTTTGCTGAAAAGTATTATTTGCGTGCATGATGCCGTAAAATTTACGGCATTGGTCAAATGGCTCAAACAATCAAACTTGTTGGTTCTGAATGTCAGATTAACTGTTCAACTTTTAGATGCTTTTCACTAATATTTATGTGTGCGTTTAAAGTGCTCCTATATTCTTCTGAATGGTATTAGTGGTTTGGGTTTGACTGGCTTCTAACTCATTTCTTTTTCTTCTGACTTGTTTCCCCACTGCTAGTTGTATACCTTTCTGGAGACAACAATGGACACTCTAGTGTTGCTTCCTAGTTTCATAAAGTTCTTTGGCAAAGCCATGAATCATTCCTCTTCTCCTGGCAATCTAGCAATCATTTTTTTGGCTTTTGGTAAGTTGCCCATGCAAATTGATTATTTTCATATGGTGTATTGATTCTGCATGGTTGTTTCCACGTTTCTTACAGATTGTTTAACTCAATGCAGTTCTTAATTTGGCGTTTTCTCTGAGTCTTCTTTGTTTCATAGTTATGCATGCATCCCTCGTATCGAGCAACACCACATCAATAGAGGTAATGGACACATTAACTGCTTTCTGTGTGCCTATATTTTAGTTGGGTTATGTAAGGCTGCTCTTGCTGATTTAAGACCTTGTAATTATTGGAAGTTGACCATGAGATGTTATCTTCCTCTCGTGGAGAAGGCCATGGAATGTGACTCTTTTTTAAGGCAATGGTAGCTGAGTCACAACCTCATTTTTAGACGAAAATTGTTTTTAGCTCATACCATGACATCATCATTGGTATGGTTGATGGCATTTTTCAGTGAGTTGCATGGTTTATGATACTGACATTCCCTTGAATTTTGAGTTTCAAAAGTAACAATAACCTCACACTACTGATATGTTAATGACTGCATTAATTACACATATGATGGAATTAACATGGCTCTGCATGTTGTCAGCAATTGAGTCCTCATTTGATAGTTTTGTATTTCATTCTGCAAATGTTTTAGGTTTACGAGAAGAAAAGAGCAGTCAGATGGAAATACGATATAGGCAGGAAGAAAAATTTTGAGCAGGTGATATCTTCTAGCCAAACTGTCTTATTCCTCTCTTCTATATTTATTTTATATGCGTAAATTTGTGGAAGGGTATTTCCTTGGGTGTTAGGGCTTATATGGAGCATACATCTTGGCAAAAGCTTTTCTGGCATTCTTCAAAGAAACTAGGCCATTACCTTCAATAAATATATATAATAAACTAAAATTAAAGGCATACATTTTTAATTGCTGCAATGAAGGTGCTCATCTATGACCCAAGACTTTACAAAACGAACAAATGTTTGTGTATCCTTTAAAAATGGTTTAATTTGGTGAAAATATAATGACTAGGAATGCCATTAATTTTAATTATTGTGGCAAATAGAAGACATTTTCTTCCAGACAGACCATTGTAATCTTTGTTCTGATGGTGTCATTTTTCCCCCGTTGAAGGTTTTTGGAACAAAGAAAGCATTGTGGTTCCTACCATTATTTTCAAAAGAAGATTTAGACAACATACCTGCACTTCATGGCCTAGATTTCCCAACACGTTCTGACGTTTAGGCTTGGAACTTGGTGAGCTTACTGTGAGTTGGAGTTACAGTTACTGCAAGTGTATCATACTTTTATCATGTTGAATTTGCTGAAAGTGCTGATTTTTTCCTCATATTTTTCACAGAGAGGATGTATATAAAATTTTTGGCCCACAAATATATTTCTTTGTACAATGCATTTGGAATTCAAAAGTAATCATCACAATAGGACAAACTGTTTGGATTATTTAATATAAAGGTCTGCAATAATGCATGAACATGATCAATTGGACCTCTGTTCCAATAAAAATGACATGGCAACTTGTACTTTCTGTGCTGGTAGAACTTAAATGGGTCTGGTAGCTAATTGAATCTTTTATTTTTCCTTTCCGAATGGTTTGGCATGCTTCCTTGTAACCTTAAATATTTTTGATCAAGGGAATACGTTCATTTTTCGTGTTGTAGTTTCAGTGGAAACCTTTTTCTTTCTGGAAACGGTTTTTTTTATTCAAACAGCTGAAGGTCTGAAGCTATGATCTCATTTGGACATATGATACTAAAATAAATATTTTGATTTATCAGTAGTTGCTCTACTAGCTGTAAGCAAGTTGATTTTTCTAGCCCCCGACTGATTGTATTTGTAGATGGGTTTTTCAAGCCAAGTAATACATTTGGGGTGTGTTTGTTTTGGTGTACCAGATAGCATTATAACGGCGGGGCACTAGAGAAATTTTTTATCCCGCTTTTGGAATGGAGAATATAATTTTAGCATGCATTCCTAATGGTCTTGTTTTAAGTGAAAAAATGAGACAGTCTCACATCTCTGTACGCTTGTTTAAAGTAATTCTTGTATGGTGTTATGCGTTCTCATATTGTGATGAGGTATTTAATTTTTCTTTATTCATTTGATTGAAAATATTTGCATTTTTAATATTATATAATCTTTTATATTAATACAGTCACCCTTGTAGAGTAATCTTATGTAGTTTTAGCAGATGTTTGTTCTTTATCTAACTTACTATAATACTTGTTGCCTTAAATTTATTGTTAAAGTGTTTAATATATTTTATTAATTAAGAGAACAAAATATTAATAGTATTAAATTATGGTAGTTGCCTATATTCAATACCATGTTGGAGAGAATGAAATAACATTATTAGCATTTGTTCTCAGCATTTCTCAAAATTTAATTTTAAATGAAGTTAAACCAGCCTATGCTATATGTACATGGCAACGGGACTCATAAATCATATCCTGTTTTAATAAAAGGATTTCATGTGCTTGTTGCCGCAAATTATAGGATATAATTATAATCATATAAATAGTTGACCATCTGTACGTCACTAAAGTCTAAAGAGCTTGCTGGCCAATGAAGTGTCCCTTTCTGGCTCTCTCTCCCCTACACCAGGTGTTGCGGGAAGGAAAAGCCACGTTATAGGAATACAGTTGACGGTAGGTAAAATCTTAAAGACCATTGGATGAGTCAGGCGAGTTAAGTATTGGGAAATCAGGAACCGGGGAAGGCAAACTCCAAACGTCTACAGATCTTTCCTACGTCATTTACTGTTAAAAGTTAATATCACCCGCATGCTTTCTAATTTTCAATTACAACCAATTGTTGTTTAAAGACTTATTAGCTGTCTTTTATTCAATTAAGCACCCTAACCCTGTCCTGCAAAATAAAACCTACTTAACAAACACATACACCAGCTAAGCTAATCAAAACTATAAAAGTGCCCATTCCAATCATTTTAGTTCGGTAATTAATGAAGTACATCTCAAATTAAAACCAAGGAACGATTGGAAATTGTAACACTAGGATTTTGAAACAAGGCTTACAGAAGCAGTAATATCACATGGTAACTCATGCTGTCTCCAGATCATGAACTGAGTCAGTCACCTGACGAACTTGAAGCAGGGACGACGTGTCTGTTCTTAGAGTTGCAGAACTCAGAAAATATAACAGCAAACCAAATAATGGCCGGAGTAAGTAAGAAAATTAGACCAAAGGGCACCATCCACAGCTGACTATTTGTTGGATGGTATTCATACTCCCAAAACCCTAACATCAATCCTCCTGTCATGATTACCACCAATGACCACAAACAAGCTATACATGTCTTCACTCTTTTCTCTGATTCCAGCTGGCCTGCCTCGTATCTTTCTAGATCTTCTTTATATATTCCCATCACAACAACAAGTCCCTGAAAAATATCGCAAAAATAATTACTCATACCTCATTAAACTGGATACTATCTAACCTTGATGAATCGAAGAAGAAGAATAAGTAAAAAAGAGGCATACCTAAGTTTTGATTTAGAAGAGATGAAGAGTATGTTATAAAAACGCACAGTAGAGAGGGCGGTCGAGACCATAAAGCTAGAGACGGAGAATAAGTTTGAGAGTGAGGTAAAGGGATGAAAGCTAGGAAGGCAAAAGTCCCATGACTCAGGCCTTGGATTTTGCTATTCATACAAGCAAACATAAATAAATATACCCATCACCAGACGTGCCTTTTTATCAAAGTTGTTATTTGTTAAACTATTGAAAATAAAAAAGAAATATAAATTCACGTCTAAGATTTTAACACTATTTTAACTATTTGTCCATAGAGCAATCTGGGGTAGATTCCATTTGTATTTTAATGTGTGTTTCTTGCGTTTCATTTTCCAATCAACAGGCTTGTTACTCACAGAATAGTTAGGTCATCATGTTCAAAAATTTTAAGAAACTAACACGAAAGTGAGTTTTCCTGTTCAACTTGACTGTATATATATATATATATATATATATATATATATATACATATTGTTATTTGATAAAATATTGGATGAAATTAAACGGAATCGGAAGTAAGGCTATTTGGTAGAAAGTTTGTGGGTGTCAATATAACGGTGCATCAGTTGGCGCCGTTACTTTAAGGACACTTCCATGTATTTGCAAGTAATATAACAGCTAATGGTATAATTAACATACTAAATTTGATTTTGAGGAAATATCATATTCCAGCAAAATCAATGTAATATTCTAATAGATAATAGGTTCATTGCAGGAAATTCAATTATTATATTATAGAACACATGTTTTTTCACAATATAGTGGCCATGTAAATTTCGCGTAAGAATGACATATACATTGAGTGTCCCATTTGGATAGTTCTCCCTTGGATCCGTATCCGTTGTCAACCTATTAGTCTTCTCTATCAGATTAAAGTTATTTGGTTGCAATCCTGAAACAGGTTGCAACTCGACAATAACAATTAAGACACACTTTCATCTATTTATGAGGATTAGAAAAGTGGCTTTATGACCTCCCCATTAGCTTATTTGTTCAAATTTAAATTGTTATATATATATATATATATATTTTTTTTTTTTTTTTTGAGAGGAAAAATAAACATGATTCATGAACAAGACAAGCAAAATACAGGCTAAAATTTGGTTAAAAAATTCCAACGGGAGCTCAAGAAAGCCACACGCCAGAGTGATCTTGGGCCTCTTGTAGCAGTAAGAACCCAACAAGCCAATGTACGTAAGGTTCAATAGTTCAACATCAAGCCCAAATCATAAAGTTAGATGACAATTTTAGCCCAAAGCTTGTTGCAACCTGAGCTGAAAGTTTTAGTGCCCACGCCCAAATTGAACTTGGATACACTAAAACTATGTCACGTATTGGGGCCTGTTGTGGTACTACGGAAGCCACACAAGCAGTAATAAAAATCTCTCCACTCAGCATGTATGGACGAGATTCCACCACTCCACGTGAGTGAAGCGACAGGACAATTTTGTTGAACTACAAATTAAAGGATATAATTGTAAATTAAAAAAAATAGCGGAGCAGGCTGACAGCTGACTGATAGCTGATTCACGAATCAACTAATTCCTCCTTTGAAAGCAATGTTTGTTTTTTGGACGTTATCAATAATTGAAGAATTCCATTCATTGATATTTGATCTTATCTTTTGGTGTCAGCATATTCCTAACGAGGAATGTTTGAAATCACATTGCTACCCTTATTGTTTTATTTCAAATTTAACTTAAAATCTCATTCACCGTTCAAATTTATATGGTTTATTAGAAGATAATTATGATTAGCTGGGTTGAAAATTTAATTCAATATTTTGATTACATTACATATATAGTTTCCTGTTAACACCTATGATTTAATTTTCATGGTTGAAATTCTTCCTATTAGTCTATAACAATAATTATTGGTGTAACAAGAAAAGAGGAGAGAATTATGGAAAGTAGGTATGTCTTTTCTTTTACTAAAGCAACATTATCTCACAGGGATAAAAATCATTATGTATATATATATATTATAATAATTTTGTATAAATCCATGGATGGGCAATTTGGTAAATTAAAGGATCTGCATTAGGATGTTTTAAATTTAAGGCAAGTTATCAAGGCAGACACGGAAATTCCACGGGGTTGTTATATGATTGGGTGCAAAAACCAGAACGGGACCCATATCATATTGTCGGACCCAAGTCTTTCCTACAAACATCGTAACACATATACAAAGCCACCGTTTCCACCGCAATCGTCTTCAATTCCACAACAATCAAAACGTTATCGTAAACGAAAACAAAAAACAAACAAAACAGAAATTCGCTCTCCTAAAGATTACTGTGAGATCCACTAGCAATTCAGTACTTGTGATTTATATCGGAGGGAGAGGCGGTCAGAAAATGAGCATCAAAGTACCGGCGACGAGGACGCGTGTCGGGAAGTATGAGATGGGTAGAACCCTTGGTGAAGGTAGCTTTGCCAAGGTTAAGTTCGCCAAGAATGTGGAGACCGGAGAGTTCGTAGCCATCAAAGTTGTGGACCGTGATCAAGTCCTCCGACACAAGATGGTGGAACAGGTATATCTTACGTATCGTTGTAGGAGTTGGTGTTATTCATATTCCAATAATTCATTAGAATGGCTTACCAGATTATTTTGATTTTGTTTATTGGGATGAAAACCAATGGTCTAATTTTAGTTGGGGTTTGGCATAGATTACGTNTATAGTTTCCTGTTAACACCTATGATTTAATTTTCATGGTTGAAATTCTTCCTATTAGTCTATAACAATAATTATTGGTGTAACAAGAAAAGAGGAGAGAATTATGGAAAGTAGGCATGTCTTTTCTTTTACTAAAGCAACATTATCTCACAGGGATAAAAATCATTATGTATATATATATATTATAATAATTTTGTATAAATCCATGGATGGGCAATTTGGTAAATTAAAGGATCTGCATTGGGATGTTTTAAATTTAAGGCAAGTTATCAAGGCAGACACGGAAATTCCACGGGGTTGTTATATGATTGGGTGCAAAAACCAGAACGGGACCCATATCATATTGTCGGACCCAAGTCTTTCCTACAAACATCGTAACACATATACAAAGCCACCGTTTCCACCGCAATCGTCTTCAATTCCACAACAATCAAAACGTTATCGTAAACGAAAACAAAAAACAAACAAAACAGAAATTCGCTCTCCTAAAGATTACTGTGAGATCCACTAGCAATTCAGTACTTGTGATTTATATCGGAGGGAGAGGCGGTCAGAAAATGAGCATCAAAGTACCGGCGACGAGGACGCGTGTCGGGAAGTATGAGATGGGTAGAACCCTTGGTGAAGGTAGCTTTGCCAAGGTTAAGTTCGCCAAGAATGTGGAGACCGGAGAGTTCGTAGCCATCAAAGTTGTGGACCGTGATCAAGTCCTCCGACACAAGATGGTGGAACAGGTATATCTTACGTATCGTTGTAGGAGTTGGTGTTATTCATATTCCAATAATTCATTAGAATGGCTTACCAGATTATTTTGATTTTGTTTATTGGGATGAAAACCAATGGTCTAATTTTAGTTGGGGTTTGGCATAGATTACGTAATTAAAAAAAAAAAAAACCTATCGTAAAACATATGAATCTTTAATTTTTATGTAATTAGTAACATGGTGAGATCATCATCTTGTATTAGATAATCAGCAATTCAGCATATGCAACGTCTCAATGCCCTTAGTTTAGCTTCTTCTTATCTTTCTGTTGGTTGGATACAGTGGATAGACACAGCGTGGTAGTGTGGGACCCACAATATATTTTTACGATTATCCAATGTGGGAATGTCTGTTGACTTAGTGATTTATGTATTATTTTGTTCATGTGTTTTACCTTTTGACTCTCTTATTGGCAGATAAAAAGAGAAATATCAACAATGAAGTTGATCAAACATCCAAACGTTATTAAAATTATTGAGGTAATTAAACCCATTTATTATTATTTTTATTCTTGACATTAGTCGGTAGTGTAGAGTGTATGGGCGATACACTTTTTTTTTTTTTTTTTTAAAATCTAGTCAATGAAGGAGAAAAATATGTCGAATTTTTGTGCTACAGTTGTTTCGACCGCCATGCTCCAGAAACACTTCATTAGAAACATTTTCGTAATGGAACATAATTATATTTTATAATTAGAGTTATCATTTATACCTCTGAATAATGTGTCTACTGATTTATAGGTTATGGCTAGCAAAACAAAGATCTTTATCGTACTCGAGTTTATTGATGGGGGTGAGCTCTTCGACAAAATTGTAAGGAATTGTTCTACAGCTTACAACTTTTGTGTTACGCAACCATCTTTTAATACTGGATGTTAAGTGGTTATAAATGTAGTGCCATAAATCAGCTAGCACTCATTTTTAAAGTTCTTCAATTTTCTGTTTGAATCGTAGGCCAAGAATGGGAGACTCAAAGAGGATGAAGCCAGGAGATACTTCCAGCAGCTCATTAATGCTGTAGATTACTGTCATAGCAGAGGGGTGTACCACAGAGATTTAAAGGTTCAAACCATTTCGTTTCTTGCTTTCTGTGGGTAATTTTTTTGGATTTTTATTTAATAAGGATTCTGACTCATCATTTTGCAGCCTGAAAATCTTCTTCTGGATTCATATGGTGTTCTTAAAATTTCAGATTTTGGTTTAAGTGCGTTTTCACAACAAGTTCAGGTAAGGATTATTCAATTACTTCCAAACTGTTAATAAGTTTAGTCATGATTTACAAATGAGAATGACTTTATGTTACGTTAGCTCCCATTCTGTGTTAGAGATATGTGTACAAAGAATGTCAAGACCTGGGAGAGATTTCATGTTCCTTGGCAGCTGTTGAAGATCTCTAGTAATTTTTTAGTCGTGGTTGTTCATTTTATGAATGTGCATATAGCTCACCCCTTACTTTTAATTGTAACTCATGGAAATCATTCGACTTATTACTTGAGGAAGATTAAGCAAAGCCTTCTGTGAAATTTTTAAAGTGAAGGCAGACCTACTAACATGCTTCTTATTGCAGGCGGATGGACTACTTCACACTGCCTGTGGAACCCCAAATTATGTTGCACCTGAGGTATCTACTTTTACCTTTACTAATAGAGGACACAGTAATAATGCAACTATACGTATGGTTCCTCAGTCTCACCTTTTCATTTTCTTATCAGGTTCTCAATGACAAAGGTTATGATGGTAGAACATCTGATGTTTGGTCTTGTGGAGTCATTCTCTTTGTACTTATGGCTGGATTCTTGCCTTTTGACGAGTCCAATCTTTTGGCCTTGTATAAAAAAGTAAGCAGATTTTGCTACTTTCAAATGATATGAATTAAATTAAGTACCTTAATCCATGTTTCATATACTTTTCAGATATGCAGAGCTGATTTCTCTTGTCCATCATGGTTTTCACCTGCCGCTAGGAAATTTATAAAGCGTATTCTCGACCCAAACCCTCTTACCGTAAGTACCTGTTGTTTCTCCCTTTATTTTATTGTTTTATTGTTCTGGAATGTGGTTGAAAGATGAGGCTGGGCATATGATATATTGCTGCACCTGATGCATTAATGTTAATGCATACATTTTTGTTGACTTCTTATTTCTTCTGTTGCAGAGAATAACTATTCCTCAAATTTTAGAGGATGAATGGTTTATTAAAGGATACAAACGACCGCAATTTGATAAGGAAGAGGATGTAAATCTTGATGATATAGATGCTGTTTTTAACGACTCCAAGGTAAGAGATTTAAACAGCAGCTTTTGTTTCAATTCTCTAAGTCAAAATTTTCAGGACAGTAACTTTTACAAAAGACATTGCAATTTATTTAGTTTTTCAAGTGTTAAGATTTGACACTGCAACTGTTTTGTACTTTTTACTCATGAATTTGTAAACTAACAATTTATTTAACTTAAAAGAGGAGTATTGAAAGAATTTTGAAGTGATATTCTTTATTTATTTGTGCATTCTCTTTCAGGAACATCTTGTAACAGAAAGGAAAGAGAAACCTGTATCAATGAATGCTTTTGAGCTAATCTCCAGGGCACAGGGTTTCAGCCTTGAAAATTTGTTTGAGAAGCAGACTGTATGTATACAAGATTTCATGGTGTTTTTTTTTTTTCTTTTTTTTTTTAATTTTTTGTGGCCAAAATCGGTGCTTACTAATTTTTGGAATGATATATGGCCTTGAAAAAACTTGGAAAATTATAAAAATAATATCACGAGACTCCTGAGATGATTTATTCAGTAAAAAGCTTTTTTAATGGCCATCTATTTCTATTTAATTTTTAGGCTAAATCTACCAAATAATTAATAAAAATCCGAGTAGATTACATTACCCAAAACCCCCCTTTGCCATTTCCATCTAAAAGTAACCCACAAAAAAATTAAATATATATTTATATTATTGCTGGTTGACTAAAATCTCCCTTCGTTTGAAAATTGTAATATTAGGGTTTTGTGAAGCGAGAAACCCGTTTTTCTTCCCAGCGCCCTCCCAATGAAATAATGTCAAAAATAGAGGAAGCTGCAAAGCCTTTAGGCTTCAATGTTCGCAAAGGAAACTATAAGGTCAATTATCTCTTGTTTTTCTCGCAAGTTAATTACTTTGTTCTGTTTGTCTTATATCCAAACCCAATTTAGCTTTTTAGAAGTGTAAGCTTCCATTTCAAATCTGTTTTCTTGGTTCTTTTTTTATTTTATTATTATTTTTAAAATCATTCCAGATGAAGTTGCAAGGCGATAAAAATGGAAGGAAAGGCCAGCTCTCTGTAGCTACAGAGGTAATGAACTGTTTGATTTAGAATGTATTGTCTTTTTAGTTACATGGAAATTCATTGTTGGTAGGNATAGAGGAAGCTGCAAAGCCTCTAGGCTTCAATGTTCGCAAAGGAAACTATAAGGTCAATTATCTCTTGTTTTTCTCGCAAGTTAATTACTTTGTTCTGTTTGTCTTATATCCAAATCCAATTTAGCTTTTTAGAAGTGTAAGCTTCCTTTTCAAATCTGTTTTCTTGGTTCTTTTTTTATTTTATTATTATTTTTCAAATCATTCCAGATGAAGTTGCAAGGCGATAAAAATGGAAGGAAAGGCCAGCTCTCTGTAGCTACAGAGGTAATGAACTGTTTGATTTAGAATGTATTGTCTTTTTAGTTACATGGAAATTCATTGTTGGTAGGTGAGCAAATGGCTTCTTCGAAAATTGCATGCATAATGTTTAAAAATCTTATCAACTGATATCATTCGAAGTCGTATTTAATTGCTGTGGATAAAAACTATCAGGGTAATTAATTGCTTTTTAAACTTCAGGTGTTTGAAGTAGCTCCCTCCTTGCACATTGTTGAGGTTCGCAAAACTGGCGGTGACACATTAGAGTTTCACACGGCATGTTTACATTTTTAATTTTGGTTTTTATTGGTTGTTATAACAAAATAGTAATAAATACTTTGACTAGCCATGTTGACTGTAGATTAATTTGGTGTTATCATATTGCAGTTCTACAAAAAATTTTCGACAGGACTGAAAGATGTTGTCTGGAAAACTGAAGAAACAACAGAAGAATCGAGAGGTAGTATTTCTCTTTCCCTCCCTATCTTAATCGTAGTATACGTCTAAGCATAATGAACTGACTCTTTTAACTCTGTTTCTGCAGCAGGAAATAAATAGAGACCAAGTAGCTGATTCTTCTGAGTGATTTAGTCTCAAATGCACAAAATTTACAAAAGAGATATAAATTTTGTGGTGGGGTTTAGCGAACTGGAGTTGCATGAGATAGGAAGACATGAACTGAAGGCCTGAAATCGTGGTCTTATTTAGGTGTTTTTGTCCCCTTACCCTTCTCCCCGTGGTTTCCTCCTCTTCCATGAAGCTAATCAATTAAGTTTTTCAAATAGATCAAAACTCTTTATAAGATGGAAGAAATCATCAATTTTAATGCCAGAAATTGAATTTTTTATTCATTCTTGCTTGCACCCTAAAATAAATAGTATTTCTGAGTGAGTCTTTAATTATCATTCCTTGCTTCACCACCACCTCAAATATATAAATTAATAAAGGGAGAACGACATCTTCCCACCCAAGATTTGGCGAAATGACACTTTTCCACCCTTCGTTAGGTTCTATTATGTTTTCCGTTAATATTTTACTAAAAATATGAAAATGCCCTTAAATATTTGATTTTATAAATTTTTTTATTATTTTTTACTTAGCCAAAAAGTCAAATATTAAAAAATTAAAAAAGAAAAAATAGTTAACCTCACCTAAAAAGTTAAAAGTAATACTATGAAATTGTTTAAAGTTAAATGACCTAAATATTTATTTATTTATTTATTTATAATGTTATGTGCGTTTGGCTCATTATTTCTATCCATAATCTCAATTCTATTATCCAAATATTGTTTGGGACATTATTCTAGAAATATTACTATATTTTTTAATTACTTTTAGACCCCTTAAGTTTATTAATTTTCCTAAATACCCTCAAAAACTTTAAAAATTAACAAAAATACCCCTATCAACTCAGACTTGCCAGATTCCAGCAACCACCATCGGTGGTAGCCAGAATCTATACGATGGCCTACACCACGATCAGAAATAGCTAGTAGTTCACTGATCTGGCCTTCGCTAAGAAATGGCCGTCGTTGACCGAAAACGACGGCCAAAGATGGACTTCTTTGGCATTTTTCGGCCGTCAACGGCCACTTCTGGCAGTGGATCTGGTCTTTTCCGACCAGATCCGTCGTGGATCTGGTTGGAAAAGGCCATAGCGAGGCTTTACGACACAGATCCGACCGGTCTGTGTCATAACACAATTTTCTGGCCAGATTCCGACGGTGTTGGCTGGAATTTGACACTACGGGTGGTGGGGGTGTTTTTGTAATTTTATATGTTGGGGGTGTTTAATTAAATTAACAAACCTATGGGTTTTTTTATAAATTTTTAAATTTTATCTCGTAATACTCCCCTATTCAACTACCCAATATTATTCCCAAAATCCTATCCAAAATAATAAACCAAACGCTACCATATTCTATCACTATTATTCAATAATCTACTAAATTTATAATGTTTTTCATTTTTACTAATTAACTTAGAAAATCAATATTTCTAATTAATTAAATAAACAAAGAGAGAAATATATCTTTACATTTGAACTAAAAAATAATTGAATAAAATTTTTAACTTAACTAAATTTTAATTTATAATAAATTAATTAAGAAATAAATTATTTAAAGTCATTTTCGTTTTTTCAGTTAAATATTAATAGAAAACATTAACAAAACTTGATGAAGGGTGAGAAAATATTATTTTGAAACTTATCGGGTGAGAAAGTGTCGTTGTTTCACCAAACCTTGGGTTCGAAAATGTTGTTCTCCCATTAATAAATAACTAAAGTATGATTTAGTAACACATAAAGACTAACAGCGGCATGGACGTCTCCCTAAGCGACACCGACGTTAAACTTTGAAAAATCCTATACGGAATGCCAATATCTGGCAGTCCCAGAACCAGAGAGCCCATTTGATCATTAATTGCATTAGTTTCTAGTTAGCAGCTCGTCTTATTAACCGATTTGATGTTGGCATCTCACTGATTCTTAATTAGAGAGGAGAGAGCAGAGCAGATTACATCTTTAAGGATTCTTTAACCTTTGTTTCCATCGAAGCTTTAATTAAAACTCACCAGATAAGTTCAGTTATAAAATTATTTAAATAATTTCTCTGAAATTTATGAAACCTATCGCAAACCTGATGCTCTTAAATTATCAGAGGGACTTCATGAAATTAGTATATCATTTCTATATACGTAGAGTTCTTCATACCGTATAAAATTGCTGGCTAGCTAATATGAACAAAACTAACTTTAGGTAGTGTCCAACTTTGGTTTCTTTACTGTGGATAGGTGAGAGATCAGAGATTGGACCAAATTTTGATCTAATTTTTGACTTGGACCATTTTGTTATTTTTATACTCAAAAGACAACATATAGCAAGCCATTCTGTATAACTTTAACCATAAATTAGCCTTAACTATTATGCATAGAAATACATAGCTTTCTCACGTGAGTTTACCTAAAAAATCTACTTTAAAATAGATGTATTAATAGTTAGATAGGCTACACCAATTATTTAACTACCATTGGAATGGTCAAAACAATTAATTCGTATCTTTGTCAATCATTCTAATTAGAAATTCGGTCCCTTAATCGGCTTTAAACAAATTTCATAGTCTAAGTTCTTTTCATTTTAATTTCGGAACTCAATATTGTCCCTCTTTATTATACACATTGTTCAATAGATTAATTCTTCAAACATAATAGTTTTGCGTGTCTTAAACCCTTGGGCGTTTTTTATTTTTTGTTTTTCTTGGCATTAGGTCCGTTTACTACACTTCAACATGCTACCAGAAGCTGTGCCAATAAGTTGCTATAACACTTCAATAATGCTTCTTGTAAATTGTAACAATTTAATTTAGGCCCACACGTCGCCAGAAAACAACCAAAAATTGTCTGTTTTTTTGCATAGGACAGGTCAGCGACTCATTCATCTTGACGGTTATTGGCTAGTCACCTACATTCCACCGTCCTTTTATTGCTTATCCTATCCCTTGGTACTATGACGTATCCTTTTATATTACAAATTTAATTTAATGTTTGAATTTGTAATATAAAATAAATAAATAAAAAGATTTTGGTCAAATATTTAACCTAAAAAGGCCATGTATTGACTCAACAATGCTAAACCATACTTGGGTAACTTAAAATACATGTGACAAATTGACAATGTGCAAGTTGCATGTACGCAATGGGAAAGAGAAAGACCTTTATTACTCTTGCGCTAGCTTGAAAGCAACCTCTCATTCTCACATGGCGGGCCACCTGGTCAATTGCCCCACCTTCATTAACAAAACTATAACTAAGTTTCTTTTACCAGATTTTGAATTTTTTCGATTTGGGAAGTGGCTTTTAATTATATATTTATTTTTCAATATAATTCTCATACAAAATGCCGTTGGTGGTTGAGCTATCCATCGTTCCCTGAACTACCCACCATTAATTCAAATACATCCCATTCCAGCTTTCTTGCAGCTAATATAAAAGTTTTAGAGGTCTACTTTCTCCATTCTTCAGGTTTAAATTTCCCTCTGAATCAATCTCTTTATTATTCATACCTAACCAAAGTATCCAACCATTTCAAGACGTGTTAGGGTTTCGTTTCCATTTCGGCATTTGTTTTTCTTTGGAGGGTCAATTAGTTCAGCTTCTTATAGACTCTTGTCGCTAAAATTAGTATACCAATCTTTTCTGTAAGTACCAAAAAGATAAAGAGAGAGGTCAGAAAAAGAGAGGGACAAAAAAAAAAAAAAAATGGATAGAGTAGAGATAGATAAGGAGCGATTGACGGCGGAGATGGCGTTTAAGGATTCGTCCTCTGCCGTCATCAAAATTCGACAAGGGTTGCCGGATTTTTTACAATCCGTGAAGCTCAAGTACGTAAAATTAGGCTATGGGTACTCCTGCAATTTATCTACCATTCTCATGTTTGTTTTGATTGTACCTTTGTCCATAGCCACTCTGGTTCAGCTCACAGGTCTAAAACTCGAGCGGGTTCCAGATTTATTTTCGGACCAAAAGCTTCAGCTCAACAGCTTTGACGCAGCCACTCAAGTTGCTATTTCAATTACACTAGTATTTCTCTTGGCCTTCTACTTATCCAAGCGTTCCAGACCGGTTTACCTGGTGGATTTCTCGTGTTACAAACCGGAAGATGAACGTAAAATGTCGATGGAATCATTCTTGAAAATGAGCGAAGAGAGTGGTGCCTTCGAAGAAGACACACTACAGTTTCAGAGGCGTATAGCGAGCAGGTCGAGTGTTGGTGATGAAACATATTTACCAAAAGGAATAACATCAAGACCACCAAATCTTTGCATGGAAGAAGCCCGGGCGGAGGCTGAAGCAGTCATGTTCGGTGCACTGGATTCGCTTTTTCACAAAACCGGTGTTAAACCCAGCGATATTGGAATTCTTATAGTCAACTGCAGCTTATTCAACCCAACCCCTTCTCTCTCTTCCATGATAGTGAACCATTACAAGCTCAGAACAGACATCAAAAGCTACAATCTTGGTGGCATGGGATGCAGTGCGGGTCTTATATCCATCGAGCTAGCCAGAAACCTCCTAAATGCAAACCCAAACACATATGCAATCGTGGTAAGTACCGAGAACATTACGTTAAATTGGTATTTCGGCAATGACCGGTCCATGTTGCTATGCAATTGTCTATTCCGCATGGGCGGTGCTGCCGTTCTTTTATCAAACAAGGCTGAAGACCGGTCCCGGTCCAAGTACGAGCTGGTTCATTTAGTTCGGACTCATAAAGGTGCTGATGATAAAAATTACAATTGTGTTTATCAAAGAGAGGATGATAAAGGAACCGTTGGTGTTTCACTTGCAAGAGAATTAATGGCCGTGGCTGGAGATGCATTAAAGACAAACATAACTACACTGGGTCCTCTTGTCTTGCCACTGACAGAGCAATTTATGTTCTTTGTCACGCTTGTTCGTAAAAAGGTTTTCAAGGCCAAAGTCAAGCCTTATATACCTGATTTTAAGCTGGCTTTTGAACATTTTTGTATACATGCTGGTGGTAGAGCTGTTCTGGACGAGTTACAAAAGAATTTGCATCTCAGTGATTGGCACATGGAACCCTCAAGAATGACTCTGCACAGATTTGGCAACACATCTAGTAGCTCATTGTGGTATGAGTTGGCTTATACAGAGGCCAAGGGACGGGTTAATGGTGGAGACAGGGTTTGGCAGATTGCATTCGGATCGGGCTTTAAGTGTAACAGTGCTGTTTGGAGATCGCTGAAAGGGGTTCCGGTGGGTGAGTGGCGGGGTAACCCGTGGGTTGACTCAATTGACAGTTACCCAGTTAAGATTCCTGTGGCTTGAATGGCAACGTGTCAATAAATGAGAAAGTGACGTGGTTGTGCTGTGTGGCTTTTGTTTAGTATTATTCTTAATCTATCTACTAAAAATATTGGAAGGAGCTTCACTTTCTAAAACCAAATGTAAAACTCCTGCCCATTAATTGGCGAAATTATTAGTAAGAAATTAAATTTAAATATTATATATTATTTAAATTCATCCTCCAATTATCTCTTCTAACGCATCAATGCACGTAAACGAATTAACTTAAATCTTACATAAAAATAACTTCTTTCTTAAGATGTCATATAACCTATTTTAATCTCAGGCCTCATTTATATGGAAGAATATAAAAATATATTTTAATTAAAAACAAATAATTTGACTTTGCTAAAATTATGTATCGTATGTGAAGAAAAAATTAATGTAGATGAAAGAATAATTATTATTTTTATATAAATATAAATGTTAAAAGTATAATAGTAAGATGGAAGGTCAAAGTATAATGTTAATGGCCAGAGATTTAGACTTAATTGAATGTAGTTAATCGTGCAATCATATATATATATATATATATATACTATCTAATATATATATATATCCAGAAAGAAAATAGTGACGTCCCGGATAGGGAATGTGCAAATTGCAGATGTATCCACGTCTGTGATCCTGTGGATGGCGTTACTGTGAACTCTCTAGGGGCTGGGCCTATCAATCAACTGCTAAAATTAATTTTAGGACCATAAAAATGCATTCCTAATTTTACAACCTTTAATTATTTTTATTATAATAAATATAAAAAAAAGTCCAATCACTTAATAATATATATTGAATTTGAAATATGAATAAGAGGTGTGAGACCAGTTTGACCAAAAACCCAAAAAAGATGTGGGCCGTGTCCCCAACTCCAATCTCAGCCACACTCTTCCCCAACCCAACACAACCACTTTTCCGACGTTCGGTGGTCAGTCTCCCGCGGTCCCAAGACGACGACGTTGGCGGAGTAGGTCACATCCTCTTCATGGCGACTAATTCCAATGATGCGATTTCCAACACTAATCCGATCCCAAAACGGCAAAAACAGAAAGAGGGAGAGGGAAAACAGCTAACTGGGTCAGACGTGCTTTGGGCTTTACAAAGAGCGACTACAAAGAAGAAAAAGAAGCACAAGAAAAGAAAGGAATTATCGTCGGCGGGCAGCGACAAAGAGGATGTAGATGTTGATGATGTGGATTATAGTAATGTGAAAGCATTGTGCATAAAGAGCGAGTGGAGTGCTAAGTTGAATGAGTTGGAGAAGCGGCTGCAGGAATTATCAGAGATTTAACTCATTTATCCTCTTTCTTTGCTATTCACTCTTTTCAATTTTATTTATGTGTAGCCATATAAAAACCAAACTTTTCTTGCAAACGGTGTTTTTTCATTGAGAAGAAAACAATCTCCTTGGTTGAGTCAAATTCTAAAATGCTACTTGTTTATCAAGTATTATAATATTAGTTGTTTATCTTATGAAATTATTGCCTTGCTTGCTTACAAATTATTTCATTTTAAAGATGGCAGTTTGCATTCATCTGTCGTAACTAACTCTGAAAGTTAATTAGCTGTTAGTCCTTTGTACAAAAATTTACAACTAATACTCTAATATACGTTCTTTAACAAATACTCTTGTGAAGTACTTTTCACATGGATGAAAAGCTCATTTTGATTCTCAACATACCATTTTCAAGATTCTAGTTTTCATTCCAAGTAAAGTAATATTGTTATTTGTTATTACTATTTCAATTATGACATAGAAAAACAATACTTAAAACACTTTTTAGTGATATATATATGTTAAATAAAGTAATCAGTTAACCAGTTAAATTAGCAATCCTTGATATCAAAGTTCTTACTAATTTATATAAAAGCGTATGAGATTATGTAAACACCTAATCTTCACCGACTTCACAACAACCAATTCCAGTATATATAAAAGAAATAACCCTACCCTGCAAGAAGAAAAGGGATGATGTGCATGGAGCCAAAGTTGCACTTGCATGTGGAAACGGAATAGAGGTTGTACAACTCAAAACACAAGCTAACTGGGTGCCAATAAAAGTTAAAACAATACCAAGAAACAAAATCAAATATGAAAAAACTACTCAACTACCAATCATCTCCTACGCATTTATGTTAAGAGGCGCTTACTTTCCAGAATCCTTAAGATCCTTTTCCTCCTTCATTCTCCTTTCATACGAGGCTGTGGTGAAGAAGAGAAAGAAAGTTCATGGAAAAAGAGAAAGAGGCAGCTTGGGAGGAACGTATTTTGTTATTTCGCGGCGCGTAACTAGTCATCCATCTACAATGTACTCCCATTTCATGAAAAACTACATGTTCCTACACTCTCCTACTAATACGGTCGATATCTTCTGCCACGGTTGCCATCATCACCACTACTACTTCCACTGCGTCCACCTGGGCCATTGCTTCTATCAACTCTTCGAGGCCGAGGAGGTGTCATTTGTACTCCGGGCTGCTGACTGCACAATTCCCAAAGAGCAAAAGCAAAGGTTGAAAATATTTTCTTACTTCCAAGAATTAATTATAGGATATATACAACTTTGAGATAGCAGCTTACAGAACATAGCCAATTCGACCATCTGGTAAGACCATTGGCACCATATGCATCCCTGCTGGCATTGGCCCCCTACCATATATCATGGGCTGTTCATGTGTAAAAATTGTAAGCTCAATTTGACCAAAGAATTATATCAAACAGAAACAAGATAGCAGATACACTTAAATACCTGTTGGAAACCACCAGCAACACCAAATCCACCACCTACAGCACCATATGGGTTCCCACCAAAGCCACCATACCCAGTATGAGGTAGATGGGTTGAATGAACCCCAGCACTGTAGGGATAAACCCCTTCAGGTTTTTTATCAGCCTGAGGTTTTGCAAGGACAACCTCCAACAATTGGCCTGCAATTCAAGTCCATTCAACAAATTATTCTAGGCAAACAGAAAAACTTCATAGTTTACTCTGGAATGTTTTTAAAATATGCAACTACATCATTTTAAGACAAACTAATTTGAAGAGGAACAAATCACACACTCTTAATTCTTCTAACTGGCACCACGAAAAGCAGCGCAAATGTATGCTAACAAATATAGAGGTCATTTAAAAAAAAAAAAAAAAAAACTATTATAACCAACAAGTAGTTAAATAAATTTAAGTTGTAGACTCGTACTGGTTCCATCACTGAGTTTCCCCAGTTTTACAAAACAGAACCAGTTGAATGTGTTAGAAAATTACCATCAATTTCATATTTCTCTGTTTCTTTGACAGCCTTTAGTGCACTGGACCTTTCAGCATAATGGATGAACCCAAAATCCCGTTTACCAGACTTTCCAGGAGGCATAACAACTTTTGTCACTTCCCCATGCCGCTGGAATAGTTCTTTCAGTTGCTCGGTAGAAACGTTTTCAGGTATATTTTTCACATAAAGTGCCTTCACCTGTGAATAAACATTTACAAAGCGTAAGGACCACCATCTTACAACTATATTATAGCAAGAAGGTATTGAAACAAAATATGGTCTCAACAAGATTTCACAAACAAATAGGCTGAGAATTTCGACAATTAGTGCGAGGTTGAACTTACCAGTTACCACTATGCAATTCGGTAGAATTGTAACAGCGCAAAACACTTAGCATGCAACTAACTCACATGATCTCATAAATACATCTTCTTTGTTATCACATATCATTACTTCAGGACGTAGATTATGGACAAAGACAAACTACCCTTCCTTCAGCTTCTTATTTTACACAATATGACAAAAAGGAAAAGAAAAAAAGAAACAAGACCATTACTCTCTAGCACATAACGATGTTAATAAATAAAATATATTATCGACTTTGTAAAATAGAATTTCTTTTACACCTTTTAATTCCACCTATTTGCTGAGCTATTTTGAAAAACTGAAAGTATGATGCACAAGCAGTAAGCAAGAAATTTCTCTAATTTATATAGATATCATGAAAAAGCAAAATAGCAACCATACAAACTTGGACAATTTATTTTAATTCCCTTGGACCTTACCTGCGCAGCTGCTGCAGAGTGATCAGGTGTACTCTTTGGATCAGCCCAAGTAACAGTTGGGGTATTGCCATCCAGCTTAAAGTTTGCACTTGTCATTTTCTGCCTTGAATAATCAGCACAAGCATTATTGTAATACAAAACAAATGCAAAACCACGGTTGCGTGAAGGATTTTGAGGATCCTGTAATTAAAAGACAATAAGAATTAGCAATGTAAACAATTCCAACTTCAACTTTGTAAGGTAAAAACATTTATTAAGACAAAATTTCACCTTTATGAGCTCAATATTTTCAACTCCAGGACCAACATCCTCGATTACTTTTCTGAAGTCATCCTCAGTCCAGCTCTTTGGAACATTACCAATAAATAATCTGTTCTTATTTTCCGACAGGGAACACCTTAATACTTTACCCTACAGAGATGATATGTATAAAGAAGAATATACTGATGAAGAATGGTGTAAAAGAGGCATCGAAGGGATTGTCACAGAACCAAAACATCCAGACATCTAAAAAATTCCTAAAGACCATGTAAAATTGTGAGAAGCATCAAGATCACCTTAAATTCTTTACTGTGTAACTCTTCAATGGCCTTTTTTGCAAGCTCCTTTGATCTGAAAGCTACAAAAGCAAAACCCTTGCTCTCTCCACTGTCTTTGTCTTTCATTAACCTCACCTGTAAAACCATTCAAAATAACACCCCTAAAGAACAAGAGAATGAAAAATAAAGTGATTAAATGTCACAGCACAAATCATAACCTTACTAACCTCAAAAACTTCACCTATTGGTTCACACATATCCCTCAGGTCCTCTTCCAATGCATCCTTCGGAAGTCCACCAATAAAAACTTCAGAACCATGAGGAGGAAGGGCAAGAAGTTGGTCATGCTTCTCTTTCTCCTCTTCACTGATGGAAGAACTGGGCTTCTCTTCCTCTTCCACATGTTCAGAATCAATGTGGCTTCTATTTGCATCTGGGGATTGATCTTTCTCACCAACCCCAGTTTTTGAGTAATCATATTCTTCATCTTCGTTTTCTTCAACATTTCCATCTCCACCTTCATCTTCTCCATCGTCATCTAGCTGCTCTTCGACATCATCATCCATCTCTTCCATGTAATTGTCCTCATCAAGATCCACCCGCTCATCAACTTCAGTGTTCTCAGCCATGACTATTTCACGTCCCAGGTCTTATCACCCAATAACAGTGCCTGAACAGCACCGAAATCATCTTCAAGCTTCGATGATTATTATGGAAAATGCACGCAGCCCGCAAGAATGTGCATGATGCACAATAATAGAACTTTTTTTTTTTTTTTTTGGACAATGTATCGGAAATGGATATCCAACCACTATCTTGGATATGCATTGACATCATCAAAAAGTAATACAAAACTAAATGTACTAGAAAAGCAAGAAAATGTTTTCGTTTCTCCTTTTTCCCCCCCTTTTCAGATGAATGGAGAAAGAAAAATTGAACACCAAAAGAACTTGCAAACACAAAGAGCATTAACATGATTTTCGCAAGCTATTAGATATGCTTCTATAAATGACCAGCGGTTCATTCCTAGCATCAACCAGTGGTTCCTAGTTTTCTACAGCTCAGATTAGCTTCTTAGACGCATTGGACAAAGAAAAGAAAAATGAAAAACAAGATCATTTAAATTTCATCAGTTGCTTCCCAAGAGAAAATAAGAAGCAAGCATCAACTCAATTTCACCCAGCCCAAAGCACTAATAGACTAAGCTAAGTTTTGTTTTTCAACTTTTTTTAAACACAAAAACAAAACCAAGATTAACCCAAATTTCTTTTTTCAAATTTTCCGGTAATTATAATGGTATATTATTTTGATGATTCCCTTATAAAAATGTTTTTAAAGAAAAACATAACTCCAAACACAACCGTTGCTAAATGATGAGAAAATACTAAACTTCGAGACAAACCGACACAACTGATTACCCCTGATCTAAAATACTAATCACATAATTGATTTGATACCCAGGTATTTATTTATCCCCCAAATTATAACATTTAAAACGGAACAGTCACACACATTAAACCCTAAATCCGATGTCAAACGGAGCCGTGCCGAATGCCGACAGCAAGTAACCCTAAACCTACGTCATTTACAAATTGGAATTGGATTGCAATGTAAGTTATTATCCGACTCAAATGAATAAGCTCCAAAACTTGATTGGGAGTTATTTCAACAAATGAGGCTACTTTTTTTTTCTTTTGGCGCGAGTGTGACAGAAATGAAATGAAATAGAAATCGAAAACAGAAACATATAGCTGATAACAGCAGTAAATAAGTGAGATATTTGGCATACCAGTAAATGTTTTTGTGTTTTGTGGGTTGAGATTCCTTTGGGGGTCAATGGTTTTGCTTTCTCTGTTTCTGTTTTCTGTTTCTCCGGTGTGGTGTCGAAATTTCGATGTAATTTTATCCGACGAACCCGAAGAGAGTTTTCTTTCCAAAACACCCTAATTGGGAAAGAGTGATAATATTCTGTGAATGGGTCTAGAGTTGTTCAATAAACTCACCAATCAAATTCCACCACGTCTTTATATTTCAAAGCGGAATGACTAACTCACCCTTCCGGATCTCCAGTTTTAGCCTCGATTTGTTCTAACTTCCAGACTTCATTCAGTATACTTGAATAAGATCTTAGCATTTCTACTGTTAACCCTATTTCTTAATTAAAAAATTATATAATTAAGAAGGTAAAAAGATAAACGTAGTCTTCCTAAATATATATATTTTTTAATATTAGAAAGATTTCCTCCGATAATATGTAAAAAATGTTAGTTTTTCCTCCAATTACATACTTGAATATGGAGAAAATTATTAAGTTAGGAAAAACTCATGCATATTAGATTGTGGTACTATCCAAATATTTTCATGTTTTCTAAATGCACAAACGTCAATTGTGTTCCATGTTCCAAATATTTTGTGATACATATTATCCTTATGTCACATATATGTTATATCTTGATACTATTTGACACTTGATAATTTAAAAAAAAAAAAAAAAAAAATCCCCATCAAAAGTGCACATCCTTGTGTACAAAATACCAAAGCCAACAAGGTCCGATTAAGATCGAGTTTTTTATTTTTATAATTTGTGCCTAATAATGTTTTATGTGTCACTCTGTCAGGCAGCAAGATAAACTCTTCAATCACTTGTGATCATGGGAAGGGTCTTCGCTATAAGTATTTGGGTTGAAATGGGCTTTCAGCTTTACATTAGGGCCGAAATAAGGTAAAAATAAAAGTAGACTACATTGGGCATAATTTTGTAGATAATGGGCCAGTGAACAAAATAGCCCAACCGATGACCAAATGGGTATTCCATCACGTACTTACATTAATACAGAAGTTTAGCCAGACACACAGAAATGATGACACACCCAAAATAAATGCGCCTCTTAGAACTTGTACAAACTACGAGTACAAACTCTTGCATCCGTATAAATTTTGGTAGGTCTACATAAATAGCCTTTGCTAGGGGCACAGTGGCTGTCTTGTGAGCATATTCACAACCCTTCAAGTGCACACCATCCTTCACTATATTCACCCCACCTTTCAATCCGAGAACTTGGTCTGTCCACTCACCAGAGAAGAGCCCTAAGGAATCGTACTTCTCTTTAGCCTTTAAGAATTTTCCAGCATTTTTGTATTTTCTGATCACGCCATCAAACACTAGGTTTCGATTTTTTTCCCCAGTGGGGCAGTCCTCCATATATACTTGAACACCGCCATTTGTTCAATTTCTTCAAGAATATCTTCATAGAGCCTAGGAGTCATTGGGTCCTTGCTTCGGTAATATGAGATATCGAAATCTATTGAATCCTCTTGTTTTCCCAAGTAAGCACTCGAAGCTTTAACATAGCGCATCAGAATTCCATTGTAATGCTCTAGACCGCACAATGATTTGGGCTCCAAAGCAACTAGTTTTTGTACATCTTCAATGAAGTTTTTGACGACAGACAACCCAATAGAAAAAGTAGTTTGGTGAAAGAACTCGCTCTTGATTCTAGAGTCCCAAGAGCACCCTGTGATCAACTTATCTTGGGGACTATCAAGGCAGGTCCTCGATGATTGAAGACGATTCTGAAATCCAATTAGAGGATAGCCCGTAAAGAGGATACCTACTCCAAAATGAGAACAAACATTATTACATGGAATAATAGTATTACATTTTATGTCAATAATGTAGCTTTAAGTGGAAGGAATCAATACCATTATTGGTTAAGCCAAACGCAGTGTTCATTAGCGTTGAAGTCACAAGCATTGCCCCATTGCACTTACCAGTAGCATCATTCGTTGATTCTTGATTCTACTCTGATCAAATAACAATCATAACAGACCAAACAGATTAAAGAACACCGTACATTTATATTTGAGAAAAAAATTAATCAGTTTGAACCGGATTGAAAGTATAATTGAATAAAAGCGAGCAAACCTGTAGTTCTGACGGTTGCCAATGTAGCTGTGAGGGTGGACTGGAATAGAATGTAATTATATAGACCGTTGCCAGATGTGTTAGAGGAAACACGGTCATCAATTCGATAGATTGCCTTGCGTTGACTCGGGTACCAATTAATGTATGTGTTGGAGTCCCACATCGACTAAACACGCTCAAGTCTATTGGGTTATAAGATGGATAATCCTCCCATTCAACAAGACTTTATTGGGTGAGGAGTCAGACCCATCTTAAATTCTAACGTGGTATCAGAGCCTAAGTTCAGTTGAGCTGAGCGCTTGACCAACGGGTGAGGAGTTAGAGCCAGCAACTACCTCCAATAACAGACATAATTAATATATGGGCTTGACCGTGAGAGTGAGTGTTGGAGTCCCACATCGATTAAACACGCTCAAGCCTATTGGGTTATAAGAGGAGTAATCCTCCCATTCAACAAGGCCTTATTGGGTGAGGAGTCAGACCCACCTCAAATTCTAACTGTCTGGGAACTCATGTTTCCTTCCAAAACGAACCGCTTCATCAGCTAAGTCTAAATCATCCTTCATCTGGTAGGTGATGGATCGCTTGAATTGGGGTTGCAACCTCAAAGTTAACTGCACAAATTAATACAATTGTTCATTTATATTTCTTTTTCCCTTTTAGTTTCTCATATTTTTCGCAAAACTTTTCCTTCTATTTTTCCTTTTTAATTTTTCAACTAAATAAAATATTTATTTTATCCTTGTACCATTACATTTAACTAATAGAAATGTTATTTAGGAGGGATCGCCTCAATTTTCTAAAAAATTGAGGGGAAGTGTTTTCATATTAAACCGCAAGGACAACCCTATAATAAACCTTATAATTTATAGACTATAATATAGTTTATTGAACTGTGGGGTTGCCAATAATAAGATATAATATGAATGATAGATTTTGCGCATTGAGCTAGATTGTACCATATAATGTGTTACACTTGAATACGCTTCAGCAAACAGTGATAGGTTGTAAATAAATAGTTAAGTACCAATGATGATTTATTGAGCTAGATTGTGTTATTAATTAATCATAATGGAGTATATGTTTTTACTAAATGTCTCATTTTACACAAAGAAATTTTACACACACACATATATATATATATATATTCTAATACATTGTACAGTATAAGTTTGTATAAAAAATTCTATTAAATATTTTCCTTTACTTTTGTAGGGTTGGTTTTGGTATCCACCTAATAAATTGCTTTTAATCTGAGGCCTCGGGAGAAGCTCGAATTGGAAAAGCAACAATCAATGTTAATTTAATAAAACAGGATAAGTCATTAATAAAGCGTATAAATATACCAGAGATACAACTTGAAGAAAACCAAGTGAAAACTTTAGCGGCAAGAAAATCTTGATGATAATAATAAATAAGTAGGAAACAGAGATTATGCGCTATATGGTACTCAATAATTTTATACAATAGAATAGTCTTCAACTAAGCGTGATAGATTGTAAATAAATAGGTAGGAATGATGGTCCCCTGGAGGACTGCAACTCACGATAAAGACTAACAGGAAAAGACATTTTGATCGGAAAAGATGCCGATATATAGTCGTATTGGTGCATATAATGGCCATATATTTGTGAAAGTCTGTAATGATCAAATGTTTAGATTTAACTTGAAATAGGTACGTAGCTTGTACACCTGCTGCACATATTTATAGTTGTGTAGCATGACAAAGATTTCAAAGAAGCGTGTATGATTGCATTCTTTGAAGTCAATATCATGAATGTTTTTGGGTAATTTACCATCATTTTTAATTAACGACTGGAAAATGAGATTGTTATTTAAATCCACCGTCAAAAACTACTTAAAATGTAAATATATCGGAGAAATTTAGATGTGGTTGGGTACTGACAAGTTAGTCAATGAATGATAGTTTAATTTTAACTTTAAAATATGGTTGTTTAATAAACAGCTTATATAATGAGTAAACGTAAAGCTTTGAACTAACATCACATACAAAAAAAGCTTGTTGGTTATGGATGAGATGATAGGTAAAGGGATAAGGGAGTGAAACGCGCTTAATTGAAAATTATAACATTGCATTATGAGTACGTAGCAACTAGCATGTGTGTCTGATCTAACACATTGAAATTTTGATAGAAGAATTAGGCATGTCATTGGCATATTACATTAAAAAAATTTAGTGGTTGCATTATGGGGTTTTCCACGCGTTTCTGTTGTGGCGTGCCATATTTATATACTGGATCGTTTTTGCTGGATTTCATCTTCATTCTATATGTCATTTTTTTAATATGTACTTTCGTTATAGCACACTGGAATTTCAGTATTTTAGTCAAACGTGGTCATTACAAATACACTATATATATATGCTGCGGTTGGTGAGCTTGATCCATACAAATTTATTTAATCAATAAGTCATACGAAACATAAAAGGGGAATTAATTGAATCCTAATTTCCTTTGTTTATCGATGCAGAGAAATATTGTATTTCTTTTTGACCCTCATATTACTATTATACATACATAAAGAAATTAAGCAAATTTGTTATGTCTAGAAAATCAGGGCTGACGTGAGCTCATGCCAGCAAGGGCCAATCAGAGTTCAGGAAGGTTTTGTGCTGTCTAGACGTTGCCACGTCGTGCAAGGACGGAAGAGGTAAGGCTATCGTCAGTGCGGCAGGTGAAAGCCAGGCTTGTGAGTGGCTATGAATTGTCCACCTGCCCAAGCCCTACGCAATTTAAGGATGTCTCCCGTGCAGACAACCAATGGGAAGCATGTTAGGAATTGTACCACACCTACCCGACTACAGAATCATGATTACTACCTTGAATCCCCCATC